GGGATGTGAAATGTGGTTTGGGGTTTAAACACTACCGATGTGGGTGAACAATATGATTTTATGTGATGCAGTCTTATCACCTTGCTTTTTATAAAACCTAGGAAATGACACACACTCAAACTGTTTAAAACAAACAAACAAAAACGCAAAGTGGTAAAGTCAACCACTCAAAAGTTAGGAAATGCTAGAACTAAGGTTGCATGGGGAGCTTTAATTTGACTTCTTTGTGTATATGCTGGAAAGTAAGCTGCCTTGTCCCTGTCTCCACTTCAGCTGTCTGCGTTTTTGCACTCCCCCCCCCCCCCCGCCTTTTGGAAGAGGCCTAAATTTCAGATTTTGCCACAGACTCACCAAAAACCTCTCTGTGGCCCTGTGAAGACATATCCCTCACCTTCACACTCTAGTTACATCATGCAAAGAAATTTGGGGTGCAGTTTATATAAAAAAAATATACAAAATTGTGTTGTATTGCCCAGCTGTAAAATGGTAGAGCAGTCATCATGACACCCAAGCCCTGCTACAATTTTCTTGCAGATTTCGTAAGATGCCTGGTTGCGAAAAGGTGACCCCGTAAGCTCCTAGTGTTGCTGTTAAACTAGTTCTTTCTTGAACGCAGATAGGATTATTTCCTTTTATTCTTCAGCAATGGGTCAGTTTTTGCCAGATCAGAAATATTTGCCTCATGAGTAAAGAGTTACAGACTGGAGTACATCTTGGAAATGTGGAATCATCTTTTCTGAGTCTTGGTGGATCTAGATTTGTAGATACACTCCCTATACAGGGGCCAACCCAACTCGCACTTAGCTCAATAGGTGTTTGTCCTTTGACTTTAGTGGATGTTGGGTTGGGCCCAAAGTGATTTTCAGATATATACTTCCCCATAGTGTAATTGAAAGTTGCCTTACTCTGGTGCCCATTTTTAGCGTCCAAAAAAGATTATCTCTCAAAAATAGACACTGGAAGAGAGAGACTTTAATCTCTAATTGTGTACAGCTCTAAGGATTAACAAGCACATACTTGCATCTGATGAAGTGGGTTTTAGCCCACGAAAGCTTATGGCCAAATAAATTTGTTAGTCTCTAAGGTGCCACAAGGACTCCTCGTTGTTTTTGCTGATACAGACTAACACAGCTACCACTCTGATTCCAAGCACATACTGTTTGCCGATTGGCTGGGGTATATTTGCTTCCTGATATTGTCGAAGATGGTTAGGATCCACTTTGCGGAATTAACTTTTCTTTCTTATAGTTTAATTTAATTTTTTTATTTCATTAAAATATGAAAGTAAAGGTGGTTCTTGACAAACACATGCCCTTTGTTTCACTAACAGGTTGCAGGGGTTTTTAAAAAGGGAATTAGACTAATAGACTCTAAGGTCAGAAGGGATCATTATGATCATCTAGTCTGACCTCCCGCATGATGCGGGCCACAAAAGCTGACCCACCCACTCCTGGAAGAATTCTCTCCCTGGACTCAGCTGTTGAAGTCCCCAAATCATGATTTAAAGACTTCAAATCGCAGAGAATCTTCCAGCAAGCGATCCCTGCCCCATGCTGCGGAGGAAGGTGAAAAACCTCCAGGGCCTCTGCCAATCTACCCTGGAGGAAAATTCCTTCCCGACCCCAAATATGGCGATCAGCGGAACCCCGAGCATGCGGGCAAGATTCTCTAGCCAGATTGCTTGCCACAATCTTAGAAAATGGAGAAATATGACATATTCAGCTGCAGTATTTTTAGCAAGTGTATATGCATGTACATACACACCTGCAAACATGTCTGGCTGATTCCTCTCTCTAAAGAAATGACAGTTTTGAGATTTCACTATTCTTAATCCTTATTTGCATTATGGTATTACCCACAGTGTGGTAGATGTGGTCTCCGACTCCGCCCCAGAAGAGGTCAGAACCTTGACAAACAAAGGGCTGCAGGGAGGGATAATAGGTATTTTTGTGTTCTTAAATAAATATCAACTATGCCACCTGGACCTCAAGCCAGCCATTATTGTTGTTTAACTTCTTGTAGCCAGTGCTAGTAGAGCTGTTTGAAAATGTGACACCCTCCCTCCCCCTAATTTTGATTTTCAGTGGAATACAAAAATATTTCGGCCAAACATTGAAATATTTCCATTTGGAAATGCTGCCACTTCACCTTGTGGGGGTTGTAGTTCGGGCACCTCAAGCTTCCATTCTCCTCTCTAGACTGCACTCTCAGGTTGGACTGCATTTCCCATGATGCACCCCGTAGTCCCCTCTTAGAGATGGGAAGTGGTTCACCATGGGAGTCCCTTGCCATGGTGCATTTATGGGAGATGCAGGCCAGCTGAGGAGCCTGGCCAATAGACATGAAGCAAATGAATTACAGCTCCCACGAGGCACCTTGTCAGTATGTCCAAATGGAAATATTTCAGTTTTTGAGTGTTCGAATTTTTGACTAAAAATTGAAAATTTCCACAGAAAGCAGGTACTTTTCTTGAAAAATGTCTTACTGAAAACCCAATTTTCCCACAAAAAACAGTTTCAGCAGAAAATATTCAACCAGCCCTAATTGCTAGTGAATGGGTCTAGAGTGGGTTAGTTTCAAGTGAAAGAGGAGAGGGAGTGGCCTTAGGATTGAATTCAGTGAGGACATTCCAAGAGAAGTGGACAAATGGGGCCAGACAGGGCGGGGCGGGGGGGCGATGTGAAAAGAGTGGAGCCAATAAATAAGCAAGGGCAAAGATGGGGAGAGCCTGGAAGTTGGTGAGGTGATGGCAAAATGGAAGGATTCAAGGTGGTGTGACATATTTTGAGTGCAGGCACGTAAAATAATTTTAGCCAGAGCTGTGTTTTGTGTGGACTAGAAGTGACGGCACAAGCAACGGGGATGTTGGAGAGAAAAATGACAAAGTGGCTTGTCTTGTTTTTCCAGTTCTCCTAGGACAGAGGGGGGGAAAAGGGATAACAGCTTCTGAATTTCATATTCCTCCCACTTTTAAAGCCAAACTGAAGTAGGTAAAACAGACTTTAATGAGCTCATCTTTAAACATTACTTAGAAGTTGGTCATTTCTCTTCCTCCAGGTTTTGAAATCTTCCCTTATAGGTAATTTTTTTTCTTTTAATTTCAAATTCTTCCATTTTGAGACGCAAAACAAACCAGAAATCACAAGAGCAGGGACAAATCATAAGATGGTGGAAGAGCAATGTTCTAAAATGGTGACTGGAAGTCTGGCTGAGTGCCCAGCAGCACTGGAGGAATTTCTGGAGCAGTTTTTCATGCAGTGTTTCACTGCTGCCCTCTGCCAGCTCTCTGAGAAAATGCAGTTCTGTTCTCGAGTAGTGATTTGCTGTACTTCGGCAATTGACTGGGATGTATTTATTCATGACTGGCTGGGGGATATAGTCTTTGTGGATAGGAGACCTGTATTTTATAGGAAGGAGATTTAGTTTTTACAAGGCCTCATAAAAGAATTCCTTTTAAAGATAGGACCCTTTTTATTTCCATATTTGAATCTTTTCTATTTATATGTGGAAAGATTTATGCATTTTATTTTATTGTGTCTATTGATAGCTACCGTGCAAAAGTATATTGATTTCTGTGTCATTTTATCTTTGTATTATATAATGATTTTCTTGCTTCTGCCTTTTTAAAATGTGCTGAAATTATTCAATCTGGACAAAAACTAGATACATTTTGTTCTTTTATCCTTTTATAAAAGGGGTCAAATTAAAAACTACATTCCTGTCTTGGAACTTTACAAACAAAGAACAAAAAGATCGTCTCTGTCCCATAGAGTTTATAGTCTTATTTTCACAACTTTCTTTTTAGTTTGTTGTAGGGTCAGATGTGATGCCAGGATCGCTAACTCTAGCTGTTCTTCTTCCCTCTCTGTCATGTGCATAATCTGCTGTGGTGTAATGAGTTTCTCTTCCTCGTAGATTGGGTTGCAAGTGGGTTGAGTTTGAGAGGCTGGGGAAATGGAAAATGAAACGAAAATATGATGCCTGCTACTAGCTCTAGGAGAGATGGGCACTGCCATGTAAAGCCTCTGGTGGCAATATGTGAATTGTTGGATTTTTAATACAGCATGACCTCTGTTCTCTCCCGTTGGATACCCCTGGCACTACAAATCATATATGAATGACATGTATGAAAACACTTGGTATCTGTAGTTAAACTCAGATGCCTGATGAAAATCCCTTTTGAATCTGAGAAAATCAGATGCTCCCATTTAGGGCAGACACGGATTCCCTCTTGCTGTTTGATTTGATTAAAAACAATAAAAAGACATCTGTTCTAGGCTCCCTAACGTTTTTATTAACACAATAAGTGAAATCCCAGCAGCAGTAATGTAACCATTTCAACAAGAACTGAGCCAGCCAACCACATATAAAAACACCTTTCCACCACTCCACTGTTGAACTTGCTTTTTCTGGGGCGTATCTTATTACCACCACTGAAGCATCTGGTACTGGCCCCTCTCCGAGATGGAATACTAGACCAGTTGGAGCACTGCTCTGATCTGGTATGGTCCTAATTTGGCTGCTAAATTGGAAAGGGATGGAGTTCTGTACCAGAGCTCGTGCCCACACTCATTTTTAATCTGGTGGTGTGAGCCACAGAGACTACATGTCCCAGCATGCCATGCTCCATCTTGCTCTGAGCAGAACAAGTCCTTACAATGAGAGTGCACTTCCTTGAGGCAGCCTTGATGCTGCTCTTTCTGCAGCCCGTCCTTGGTGCTTTAGTTGACCAGAGGTAGGTGCTGGATAGTGACATGAAGTCCATCCGCTTCCCTCATGTACCAAACGTGTGTCCTCCACTGGGAGAGCAATTGCATCTGAATGTGACTCTGATGTGGCAGTGCAGAGTATTCGTGTTAGACATAGGGATTTACACCCCTAGTTAGGCTTTTAAAAATGTGCCTTGTATTGTATTTTGGATACAGCTAAGGTTTGCTCAGAGGTTATTTCTTAGCCATTGTAGTGCAGTTAAAATTAATTCCTTCTTTCTTTACCATTAGTCACTCAGCATCTGAAGAGGCCTCTGGCTCCGACTCTGCAAGCCAATCTGAAAGCGAGCAGGGGAGCGAACAGGGCAGTGAGCATGGCAGTGAGACAAACAGCAGCTCAGAGTCCTCCGAAAGCCAGTCTGAATCTGAAAGCGAGTCAACAGGTTCGAAATCCCAGCAGACCCCACCTGAAACCAAAGAAAAACCAGCCAGCAAGAAGGAAAGGATAGCAGATGTAAAAAAGGTATTGTCCCTGTCACTTTTTAACTAGCCATGTATATATAACCAGGCACTGTCAAACCCTTGCCCAGAATGAAGGACTAGAGAGCAGTACAGTAGCAAAACTGTTGTTGGCCTCCAGGCCACTTTGCCAGTCTTCTCTAAACCCTCTCAGAAAAAGCCGCCCCCCTGATGCTGGCTTCCTTGGTCATCTTGTCAGTCACTCCATGTATATCTCAGCCAGATAGTGTGATATATGCAAATAGGAGATTCCACGTGACTATGTCACTGTGTGACAGCTTGAGATTTATGCTTTGGGGCTGGGATAGGTAGTCTCAGGGCTGACTGACAAAATGAAGGAGGCAGACATGAACTGTCAGTAAAAAGGTTTCATTATTTCATCTGGCTCCCCCTCATGTAGGTAAAAGTAGTAAAGCTTCCTAGTGGAATGTGCCCAAAGATGGGAGCCTGTGTCCAGTATTCATGGTGCCACGTTCCCCTCAGCTCACTATTTTAATTCCATCATTGTGGGTCTAAAAGGAAGTGGATTTCCTGTTGCCCAATTCCTCTGGATCAGTAGTACTCAGCCTTTTCCGTATTGGGCATCCCTCCTTCCAGCTGATCCCTCTCAGGTGTAGCCAGCGTCCTTCTCCCATTTAGCCATACAGGAAGGGTGGGGGATGGCAACTCCCTGACACCTGTTGGTGTACTCACCCTGGTGTTGTGCCCCCCCTGGTTGAGAACTCATGATTGGTCTAAGTTTTTTATCCTGATGTGGATTCAGCCAGGACTGTAAAACAGCAGATTTATCTGGGTTATCATTTTTTAAGAAATAATCTGGTTATTTGCAGTCTCATTAGTCAAAAGCAGTGGAGAGTGAGTTGGGGAAAAAGAGGGAGGATAGGGTGTCCATTAGGGCAGGGGTTCTCAACCTTTTTATTTCTGAGGCTCCCCCAACATGCTATAAAAACTCCATGTCCCGCTTGTCCCATAACAACTGTTTTTCTGCATATAAAAGCCAGGACCAGCGTTAGGAGGTAACAAGGAGGGCAACTGCTTGGGGCTCCATACCACCGGGGGCCCTGTGAAGCTAAGTTGCTCAGGCTTCAGCCCTGGGTGGCGGGGCTCAGAGCCCTGGGTGTCAGCCCCATTCCTTGGGGCTTCGGCTTTCTGCCATGGGCCCCAGCAAGTCTAATGCCAGCCCTGCTTGGCGGAACCCCTGAAACCTGCTTGCGGCCCCCCAGGGGGCTCCGTGCCCCACTAAATTTAGGGTGTGAAAACCCAGCAAATGTAGCGGACTTACAGAAAAGGAGTCAGGTCAGCCTAACCAGTCTATACATTTCATGCCGTATGACTGTATTATTACTGCCATTTGTGGTTTGAAGGCCCAGATTGTGAAGTCCAAATACAACACATTCACGTAAGTCAGTTCTTGGAGAAAGCTACTTTGTTTGCTAGGTCTTGGGGAAGCACAGTGCCTGAAGCCTAAATGCTTCAAGTGCCCGCAGGGAGAGAAACAGTGCATTTTAATTGTCAACAATGGATGTTCCATCTCAGCTGCCTGAGAAGCATTATGCTGCCTGCTCAGGTTTTAGTTAAGCCTCGCATGTTAAGGGTGGCAAGGATGTAAGTATTTTTTAAGGCAGTAACAGTAACACAAAACTTAACTTTCTGTTTTATTGTTGTTTAGTGGGGGCCGAAGGAAGTTATGTCTCTTCCTTTATGGACTTTTAGCAGCCCACCTCTAGAGGATGAACATTAAAACACATCTGAGAAAAAAACAGATCCATATGCAGGATTCTAAATAACATAAACAAGACATGGAACAGATTGGGGCACTTTCAAATGAGGAAGGTGCCCATCTTCCTTAATTCCTCTAATAGTGGACATTTTGCTTCCTGCCTCTGCTGGGTGTAGCTATTTGGGGCTATTGGAATTGCATCCGCTGGACTAACCAGTGCAATTAATTTTTATCATACTGTATTCACATTACAGCTAAGACCAGCAAGACCTCAGTCAGAATTGGGCCCCATTGCGTTGGCACTGTGCAAACAGATGGGAGAGTCGGTCCCTGCTCTGAAAACCTTACTATTTAAGAGAGAAGGAAATTTGAATGGGATTTTTTTCCTTCGTTTTTTGTATCAATAAGAAAGTGATTGAACAGGCTTCTGATTTATTTCTGGGTATGTGTATGCCCAATAGGTATATTTTCTACAAGAAACCTCTCCTTTGTAGTGTTTCTTCATAATCACTTGTAAATGTACCAGAACCCCAGTGCTGGTGACCGTCCTGCATTCATCATGCCTTCATTCCAGGTGTCACTTTTGTATCTGTTAATGTGTTTAGGTATCCTTCTCTTGCCAGTGTTTTTAAGGAGACTTGTGGGATGGAGGTAAATATCTTTAGAAGACCATAAAATGGGGATAAAGTCTAATGGGGCAATAAGGGGTTGACAAATTAGACTCAGCAGGAGCATGTAAACACAGGTGATGAGATTATTTACAGAATCACTAATTCTTGAGGTTTGTCTCTGTCCATTCTGGCTTCAGGTGTCTCACCAACAATGTTCCCACTAATTTTTCCCACGCATGTGCAGAATGAATTTTATGTGCACCAGTATGGAGGCAGGTCTGGGACCGGGGGAGAGGCTCTCTCCCCGCCACAGCCCTGAGTGCCTGTGCGTTGCTTAATAGGGTGCTGCGCGGCCGCGCAGCTTAGAGGGAACTTACTCACCAATATTAGTGTCCCATGTCATCCACATATCTGTACATACACCTTCCCTCAGGTTGTAGTTCTTGTCGCCTTTCTCCTCCTAAGGGCCTGGCCACATAAGTATAACAGACCATACTTTTGTAAGCAGTTTGCAAAACTCTTATTTGACGTGGTTACAGCAACATGGTTCTTGGAGCACTACCTGTGCCAGTAACAGTGTCTAGCCACTGCATAGGCGCCGACTTCCCCTCTGCCCGCTTGACCCCCCTGGCCCTGGCCCTGCACTGCCCTCGCCCCACCCCCATTCCACCTCTGCCCCACCCTGCCTTTTCCCACCCCACCCCTGCCTCTTCTGCACCTCCTCCCCTAAGCCATGTCCCCGCTCCTCCCCTTCCCTCCCGGAAAGTCCTAAGCTCCGCCAAACAGCTGTTAGATTGGGGGGGGAGGGGAGGCGGGAAGCGCTGGGAGGGACGGGGAGGAGCAGGGACGCAGAATGCTCGGGCGGGAGGGGAAAAGGAGGTGAGGAGGGGGAACTTGGCTGCCGGTGGGTGTGGAACACCCACTAATTTTTCCCCTTGGGTGCTCCAGCCCCCGGAGCACCCACGGAGTTGGTGCTTATGAGCCACAGTGCATTCCAGGATGATGTGGGCAGGTATGCCATCTGACTTTATAATGGATAGAGTATCTTGGAGGATATGTGCACAGAATAGCACCAGCACTATATGCGTTATGGGACATCCGATGTCACAGAATGCTGAGAGGAGGGATTGGCCAAATAATTATGCAGGCATGGTAGGGGGATCCTATCTACATTGCAAAACCCAGTGTTTCACACTGGTTACAGGAAGACAATTTGGCAGCTTAGGCCTCCGACAAGAGCAATACACCATTAGCTGGTATAGTTAACCACATTATGGGTGATACCAGCTGTGTCCAGAGCCAGCGATGTTCCTAGCTGTTTACAAATTCAGTTAAAAGCTATAGAGTGGGCTTTAGAGGCAGTCAGTACTCTATAAATGCTGGGATGAGCTGTCAGGATAATGAAGGTCACCTGCTTTCAGGCAGTCAGAAGTCCAGCTGAATTCCATTAGCACAGACCTGCAGGAGTGGGTGGAATTCCTAGCTCTACAGGAGTTCTTCTCCCTGGGCCCTGCAAGATCCAGTTAGCATCTAGATTGGAATACAACCCTACACAGATCTACTGGGCTTTCCGGATAGCTGAGGTGACCCACATGTCGTTGAGCTGTTCAGTTAGCCCAATGGGTTTTTCCCTAAGGGAGAAATGGGGGCAGGTGCTTCTGGTTAGAGAGATTTGTCCTCGTGAGCCTGTAGAGCAGGGGTCTCCAAATTTTTCAGGGTCATGTCCCCCCCTTACACCTGTTGGTGCCCCCTCCCTCCGAGAGGCCAAGACTGGGGCTGCAGCTGGGGTTGGGGGCAAGAATAGAGCTGCAGTCGGGGGCTGGGAGCCAGGGTCATGGCTGGGGGCAGGGCTGAAGCGGGGCTGGGTGGTGTTCCCTCCCCACCCCTCATGGTGGCTGGTCCGGGCCCTGCTGCGTGCCCCTCCCTGCCCCCACAGTTTGGGGACCTCTGCTGTAGAGCCTCTTGCCGGGGGAGAAGTACTGAGCATTGCCACAAGTCTAATGTAAATGGAGTGGAGAATTTAAAAAAGCTTTTAGTCTCTCTAGCTGAAATAAGTAGCTCAGTTCATTCATATGAAAATGGAGAGTTGTTCCTTCTTTGGTGCCTTTTTTGTATTCCAACAGGGACACTTGGAGAGACTGGGTATTCAAATACCTGTCCTTCTACAGCATAAATAAACCTTGAAGTTTTTGTAGCTAGGGGGAGGGACAGCTCAGTATAATAAATATAGTGGGAGACTGCTGAAATTAAACATGTAATAAAACATTGCTAGGCATATAGTCAAAAATGATCCATGATCCTTTCAGTCATATTTCATAAGTTTCCATAACTTACCTAACCATCCCCCCCCACCAAAAGCCCCCTACCGATGCCATATTGATTCATCAGAAGGTTCACTCTTAAACTTCTCTAAAATGATAGCAATAATTGGGGTGAAGCAGGCCTTCTGATGGTCTGTTTATTTTGCAGATGTGGGAAGAATATCCTGATGTTTATGGGGTTAGGAGATCAAACCGAAGCAGACAAGAACCATCGCGATTTAATATAAAAGAAGAGGTAAGAAAAAAAAAAAAGATGAGATGAGGGAATATTTAAAATAAAAAAAAAAACAACACAAAAGAACAGAGGCAGTTTGATTTGTGTCTCCTTTTAAACACTGAGTTCAAGGCAGATTTGTGGAAGCTGGATTTCGCAAATTAAGGTCCCAATCCTGCAGTCGGATCCACTTAGACAGATGCTTGTGGAGTCACTGGACTCTGCAATGCCATTAAGGTCTCCATGCATGGATCTGATTGCTGCAGTGGGGCCTAATGCAAGTCATGCTCTGTTGTAGAAACATGGATCAGAGAGAGGGAGTCCATGTAAAAAACATAAAGGAAACTTCCCAGAAACACCTTACAACAATAAAACAGTCTTTGCTCTATGTCCGCGAGTGGATTGCAGTGATTAGTGTGTGTGTGTGTGTGTGTGTGTGTGTGTGTGTGAGTTCAGCTTTATGAACTATCACTTTTTTTTTTGGTTGAGTATTGGGGAAAATCTTACATTTGAATTTAATGCGAGGGACAACGAAACGTGAGTTTGTTAGAGTCTGGCAGCCAGAACTTTAAATGATTCCAGCCACCAAAACATACTACAGAAATGGAGAAATGAGCTGCTGTGCTTGTTTATGTCTACACAGTGCTTTTCATCTGCAGATCTCCAAGGAGGCTAAGCATCATTCTCCCTGTTTTACAGATGGGGAAACTGAAACACAGAGAGGGTCAGGCTGAAATGTTCAAAGTTAGGCGGCCTAAAGTGAGCAGCCTGATTTTTTCAGAGGGGCAAGGCACCTGTAGCTCCCTTTAGAATCTTCTGAAAATCAGGCCACTGTAGGGGTAGTTGCTTATATATGGGTTTAGACACCTAACAATTAGGTACCGAGGTTTGAAAATTTTGGCCTAAATTACTTTCACTGTCATACAGTGAGTCAGGGAATAGGACCCAGATCTCCTGACTCCTAGTTTGGTGCTTTATCCACTGGATCATGTGATCTGCACCATGCAACTAAACTCAGAAAATTCCAGACTGGTGTGCCGAATGCCCCGAATAGCAGCAGGTAAGAAGGGCATTTAGCACATAATTGACTTAGCTTTTGTTTTCCTTTTCAAGTTCCGCAAAGTCCAGACTCGCTGGCTGCCTCTCTGTGCGATGCCCCCAGCATGCACTATGCTGGTGATGTCACACCCATCACAGATCTCCGCTGCAGACCCGAGTGCCCTGTAGGGGGCTCAGGTAAGTCCCGTCCTTTTTTTGTTTTACAATATTACGTGGTTTTGCAAATGTTGTTTTCTTTTCCAATATCTTTAATTCCTTACTATATAAGGTACAGTTAAAAAAAAAAAATCCAAGATGTAAAAACTTTGCTATACCACACAATATTGTAAAAACAAAAAAACGAAAACCTTCAGTGCCCCCCCTCCCACAAAACCCCGCTAAAAGAATCCCAATCAAATCCAAAACCTTCCCCTCAAAGCAGGGCCAACTGGTTCCTGTAGGGCGACTCCCATCTGCAGCAGAGTCTGATGGAGGGTGTGACGTGGTCACTAGCGCAGCGTCGGGGCCTCACAATGAGGAGGAGATGGAAAGTCTTGATTTTGGAGACGAAAAAGTTAAGGGGGGACGGGGAAGATAGTTTATTTACGGCTTGATCCTGCATGGGTGCTGAGCATCCTAGTCTCCCACTGAAGTCACTGGGAGCTCAGGGTGCGCTGCACATAGTGAGTGGTTGTTACCGTGCGGGGTCAAGCCCAATGTAAAGGAGCTTTTTATCTGCCTTCTTTCCTAAAACGTTGGTGTGGCTGTAGTGAAAAGCATTGCTCCGGCAGCATTGCAGGCTCACATCCTTTCACCGCAGAACAGGAACAACCCAGGCAACAGCATTGCAAACTTCCCCATGTGCTGCCCCATCGGTTCTCCTAGGGGAAGTCTCATCTGCTTGAGAGGGAAGTTCAGTCTCTAGGGACCATTCAGTCATACTATGCTGAGACCGCCAGTTTGGGCAGGGTTGTTTTTGTGCTGCTAACAGCTGTCTTCTGGGAACTGGACTGAGACCATCAAACACGTGTCACATAAGTCACTAAGCAGCCATCGGAGATGGTAACACTGACCTGGGCTAGAAGATCAGGAAGTGAAAGATAAGATTTGTATGTTTGTTAAACATCCTTGCAGAGACTTTTAGTAAAATATCCAGGAATCTAGAGACTTTTGAAACTGTGTGACAGTGTGCAGCAAGAACCATGCTGACCCATGTATTGTCTTGGTATTTAACAGAACAACAGTAAGTCATACTAGTGGGAAGTGAGAATTTCACAGCGGTTTGAAAATATTCTAAGGCATTCAGTAAATCAATATGGACGAACAGACATAACTCTTTTGTGATCAGAAAGTTGTCTCATGATTGGAATGGGTAGGAGCCTGCAAAGCTGAGCACTCTTGGCACCCGTATCATGAAGGAGAAGACTCTTGTTCCACCACACAACATATATTGATTTATTTTTTAAAAATTTCAAAAAATTGATTATTTTATGAATTCTCTGACTTATTTTAGTTTTTAAGGTTCAGATACTGCTATTACTATCTAGTGGGATATTCCATCAAGTAGGAAAAAATTAACCTTTTCATCAATCTGGATTCCTCCGCATTTTGAGAGCAGAATGAAAGGACAGCCACAGCAAAGCTAGATGGTTTCAAAACTCGGGGATGTAGGAAGCTTGAATAATGATCAGCTGTAGAGAACATTATTGCTGTTCATTATTTATTAAATTCTTACAGTGTGCTTGGGCCTGTACAAGACCCAAAATGAACAAATCCTTGTCTAGAAGAAATTATCCTCTAAAACATGATCTGCAGTAGTTACCTGATCTACCATAGTGATTCTTAAACTTTTTGATACCAAAGACTCTCTCCTGGGCCATACCAGGCTTCTTGGTTCTAAGCATTTTATTCTGTGCGCTGTTAGGAAGGGCTCCATCGACCACAGATGGTCCACAGGACCATCTCTTTAGACCTACTGATCTGTAATCCTCAGCAGCAGGACAGTAAAAATACAGTTTGGCTGTATTGTGCATAGTGTTGTTTATACAAACACTAGGTCTCAAAATACATTAAAGTTTTATAATACAGTTAGAGATGTAAACGTTAAATGCTAGCAAAGAGGGAGAGAAATTTACAAGTGCATGAGATGGGAGAGTCAGTGAGGCAGAAGGAGGGAGGCTGTTTCATCTGGTAGGCGCAGCAGAGGAGAAGGCACTTACTGAAAAACAATAAATAATACATTAAGGAAAAGAGTCCAGTGCTAGATGAGCTAAAGGGCGCAGTGTGGAACTTGCAGCCCAGAGGGAGGGGATCTGAGTTGTTTTAAGCCATCTTTATTATTAATTATTTGTATTATCGTAGTGCCTAGGAGCCCTCCTCATGTTTTAGGTGCTGTACAAACATAGAACAGAAAGTCAATCCCAGTCCCAGAGAGCTTATGACTGAATTCTGGGCTGCTCCAGTGGCTGAAGCAGCCCTTGGGGGCACTGACTGTTGTGGCAGCTGTGATGCCCAGACTCTCTGCAATTCTGCATGTGCGGCTCTGACTCTGACATGCTCACTACTCTGGTGGTCCTCTGAGGACAGCCTATGTACAAACACATCACAAGCGCGGTTCCTGCTCCAAAGATCTTGCAGATCAACTATAAAACGAGAACAGGTTTATATGACAGATGAGGGATGACAAGAGAAGGTTTCTGCACTGGGGAAATTCTTCCTCAGCCAGAACTGGTGTTTTTAGAGTCCCTTTATGCAGCTCATGTCCTGTGGCCTGACCTAAAGAGGCCAGAGTGGTGGTGAAAAATCTCACCCACGGTCTGAGAGTCTGGTTGGAGAGTTTTTGAACTGTCCCGTGAAGCAAATGGGGAGTTAGCAGAATTAGAGGGTGAGGGATGTGCTTATGCTTATATATACTTTTTTTGTATGTTTGAAAAGGGAGGTAGCAACTATCTGCATGTACTTGAGTCTGGAAAGTTGGGGTCATTAGGCTGTAGACAAGAAAACAATTGCATATTTGAAAAGCATGACAAGGTAGCTGAGGTGAAGCTAGAAGTTCATTTGGTCAAGACAGGAAGAAATGACAGACGGGCAGGATTGAGTATCATCTATGCAAGAATGGTAACTAAGCTTTATAGGTAACAAAAAGATTACAGAGAAAGGGAATAGGTAGCGGAGAGAGCAGAGGATGGAGGCTTATAGAATTCTGAAGAAGAGCGATCTTTGCAGAGAGAAAGAGCCACTATTAGACCTTTTCTACACTGCCACTTTACAGCGCTGAAACTTTCTCACTCAGGGGTGTGAAAAAACACCCCCCTGAGAGCTGCAAGTTTCAGCGCTGTAAAGTGGCAGTGTAGACAGTGCACCAGCCCAGCCCTGGGAGCTACTCCCCTTGTGGGGGTGGGTTTTTTTTTTACTGCGCTGGGAGAGCTCTTTCCCAGCGCTGGTATCGCAACTACACAGCCATGTTAAAGCGCTGCCCCCGGGGCCACTTTAACATTGGTTGTGAAGACACCTTAGAAAGAGTGTATGCAAAAAATGGTATTGTTGTTCTCTTCCAAACTGGATCCTTTTCTAACCCAAATTCCTGTGGCTAGAGTTTGACAGAATAAACTCAGCCCATTTTATTCATGTTTTATCAAAAGACGAAGCAAAAAAATAGACGTGGTAAGGAAAGGGATAAAACTGTTGCTTGAAAAGGATCCCAAACCTGAGGGGGTGATGGGGGAGAATTGCAGCATACTTTAAATAGTTGAGTGAGAGGGAAAAACAGCTAGTGAAGAGCAGGAATCTATCCTATAAATGTTTTAACCAAGCTTTATTCTTGACAAAATAATAGAGAAGAGAGATCTAGTAGTAGTTCATCCATCTTCCTGCAATAACAGGACTGAAATCCATGGTGGATTCTGCTTAAACTTTGTTGCCATGATATGGTGATATCGTGTTTATCAGCCTGGTTTACCAGATTGTTTTTTGTTTTGTTTTTAATTTTACGTTGATTGCAGTCAGATGGCACAATGCACGGGTTCATAAACACAAGTTCACTACAAAATATTGTCACAGATAAAACTGTCTCAGATCATAGGAAGGGTTTTTCAAACAGTTGGATGCAGTGCAAATCAGAAAAGAAACCAATGAGAGGGAAAATGGAAAAAGATTGAAGTAAAAGAATAGGAAGAAAGTGGAGCATTCCCCAGCGTTCATGAGCTGTCTCCTGAACGAACAGTCCAGCTTATGCTGTTTCACTAAGTTCTTGTATTTGGGAGGTGTAAGCTGTGTTTGGTTGTTCCCTGCATTGCGACATTGGGCTGGATCATGCACCTCCCAAGAGCTGGTGAGCACACTCAGTTTCCACTAGGCTGCAGGTGCTCACACCTCCCTGGAGGATTCAACACCTTGCAGCTTCCGGCCTGCACAGTATTAGCATTGCCTGATGGGCTCTCAGGTTGTGGGATGAGAAATAGTACACCAAATTGGGTATACCTGGAATATTAATATCCCCTCCTGCCTTCCCCAAACCAAATAATGGAAGCCAAATCAGTGTTTCAGAGGGGAAGGTAGAGAAAATGTCTTTGCTGGGTGTTCTCTCCCGGGAGGTTTAAAAAAATGATTGCACTGGAAGGCTTAATCCTCGAGAGCTCGTGGGGCTGATATGGTATGGTTGGGTGGGTGGTGCAAATCGGAGTGCCAGCATATGAACAATGGACACCATCTTTGGGTGTATCCACACTTTGAGCTAGGGGTGTAATTCCCAGCTCGAGGGGACATACCGGCACTAGCTCTGCTCGAATTAGCATGCGTAACGATAGTGTTGCTGTGGTGGTGGGTGGGGCTAGCCACTCTGTCTGAGATGCTAGGCATGTTCTTGTGGTGTCTAGCTCTTCCCACCGCTTGTGCTGCCGAGGCTATATTGGATTTATAGCATGCTAACTGGATCAGAGCTGGTTATGGGTCTGTCTCCTGGAACTGGGAACTACAGCCTGAAGAGCAGACGTGCCCTTTCTGAATGACAAACCAAAGCGATGGTCAGTTGTGATATGTCTGTATATTGCAGCAAATAGCAGTTTCCAGAGGAAGATTACAAATCAGCAAGTTGCATAAACAAATAATCTTTGCATCTCTTTCTCTAATTCTAATCTGATCTGAGAAATTTCTCATTGGATTCTGTTTTTGTTTTGTTTTTTCCCCCCTCCCACACTGATATGGGTGCGTTGTGTTTTATATGCGTGTGTCACGTGCACTAGAAGGGGCAGTTTGTTCATGTGGGAGTGTCCGGTATCTGATAGCCTGCTTATATGACTGGACCAAATTAAATAAAATAGGGTTTGATGTGTGAATTGGTTGTCTTTTTTACATTACCTCTGAGTTAATGACACCTTGGTAAAAAAGTATTATAGCAGTAGTCAGAGAATACATCTCGAGCTAAGAGCTAATCAGGAGGAGTGACTTGATTTCAGGGTATTGGAGTGTGCGGATTAAGAAGCGTGAATGCAGCTTTTCTCAATCATTCAATCACTGTCTTGTTGAGGGAGTAGAGAACAATAAGGTACAAACATGATTCTAGCAGAGAGAATAACCTTTTTAAATAAAGTTTTTCCCCTTAATTTTCTCCCATACAAGATTTCGTGGTTCTGTCTGGGAACTGGAGGACCAAGAACTTTATGATTTTAACTTAACTGTACTGTTTTTACATTCCTAAAATGTGCCCATCAGACACTTAGTTCACATTCATAATTTTAAATAACAAAACACTCAAGTTGTAATGATCAATGGCCTGCCCTGTGAATGGAACTAAACATAATTTTGCTAACCCCAAGTGTTCAAAAATCATGAATCAAGCCCCAAAAACTCATGAGATTGACTTCAAATCACATGATATTATTTTGTTTTCTTAAGAAAGGGTTTTTTCTCATTGCTGTCTGGTTTTTGTAGCTTTAAGACATGCTGATGTCACATTTTCAAGGTTTTTCTCTGCAAACACCAGGGCTAGAAACTTTTTTTTTATTTTTTTTTAATTTGAAAATAGGAACATTTTCACATAGGTTAAGATTCTCATGTAATTGCATGGCTCCAGGAGCTAGGCCTTCAAGAAAAACAGCTGTCACGAGACGCATGATAAAAGCATGGGCGCTGACAACACTGTAAACATGTTCTCCACCGACATGTCTTCAGTCAAAAGCCTGAGAAAATAGATGTACCTTACGCTGGGCCCTGAAAGAGAGCAAGATCTGGCTCTGACTAACCAAAGAATACAGAGTCACACCCTTCCACCCCAACACACACTAGGAATGATTTTCAGCCTTCAAATCTAGGAACTCTTAGCAGAAGCATCGTGGCCTATCATCTTTCTTCCATGGTGCACACTGTCTCTAGGACCCTAGCAATGCATGACTTCATAGATCAAACTTGCCATTTGAAGTGCACCCTGAAGTAAGTTAGAAGCAAGTGTACGCTTTGGAGAGTGGGTGTAATGTGAACCTTGCAGCTGCCAAGTATGCAGGCATTGGTTGTCACTAGAAGTTGATCATTAGTCGTAGGTGGTTTATAGCCAGTCACTTCTGGAGGCTCCAGTACTGCAAGATGCATGTTACACTAGGGCTTTTCACCCTTTCTTCTGAGTTGCATTTGTAATCTCTCATCCTCTGAAAGCAACTGCACTAACCTTGTGACCACTGTCTTCAGAATCCAAAGTTAATGGTGTTGGGTAGCTCGTCACCTTTATTAAGTGGTATGGTTGCACAACAGTGTCATGCTTTAATTCTAGCGTTGCAGCAAGGGATAGTCCTTGGGTTACTTCGAAGCTTAGACCATATGTGTGTTTCAGTGGCTTCCTAAAGGAAAGAATGTGGAGTGAAGTCTACAGCCTGATCTTTTCTTTTAATTAAAGGCAAGTAGTGAATCTGAAAATGAGAGCCCAAAAAGAAGAGGCCAGAAGCAAATGAGAAAACCGTAAGTCTCTATGGAGAGGGTTTTGAATTGTTTTGGTTTTATTCTAACTGACAATTGTCATTCAGCTGTGTTTGAGGGACACTGCAAAGATAAACGTACATAAAAATAATGTAATCGGTTTTCATTAATAACACTTCACATTATTAAAACTGAAACAACTTGTAAAAAGGTGTGTGTTGGGGTGTCCTGCCATTTATAAATCTGTTTGTTTACTTCTTCGCACTTCGCTCAGCTTCAACAGGGAACTGGTCAGCTTCGCTTTCTGCTGCTAATTGGTTTCACCTCTTTTGGCTTTTTCATGCACTAGCTTAATGCTAATGTTTTTCAGGTTTCCAGCACTGGAAAGAAAGCTTAAGTCCTAAAAAATTAGTTTTGATTAGAGATATTTGCATGTTTTTTTGGTTGTCCTATTAGGTTTTATATTCTTCTCTTATAAAATAAAATAAACTTCTGGAGAGCTCTCATGTTGTAAAATACGCCACGCCCTCACCCGATATGCTTGACTGTATTCCTTTACATTCATGTAATGTCACCTTTTCCATCCAGAATGTTCCTACAGGCTCGTCTTACCAATAAAAAGAGAATTTCATCCTTGTGAAAACACACAAAATCTAGTTCCTTTTCTTATGCTCTCAAAAATCTTTAAGTGTCTAGAGTTTTAAATGATTTGTATGTGACCTGATACAATAAGGAGCAACAGAATAAGGCTATGAGAAAACCTAGAATATATATATCAATGTGCATATAGACCAGGGATTCTCAACCTTTTTCTTTCTGAGTTCTCCCCCACCCCCAACATGCTATAAAAACTCCACGGCCCACTTGTGCTGCAACTGTTTTTCTCCATATAAAAGCCAGGACCAGCGTTAAGGGGTAGCAAGGAGGACAGCTGCCCGGGACCCCATGCCACAGGGGGCCCCATGAAGTTAAGTTGCTCAGGCTTCAGCCTTGGGGCTTGGGGCATTGCTTTGGCTTTCTGCCCTGGGCCCCAGCAAGTCTAATGCCACCCCTGCTTGGCAGACCTGAAACCTGCTCACGGCCCCCCAGGGGGCTCCGGACCCCTGGTTGAGAACCACTGACGTAGACCACGCTCACCATTCCAAAGCCAATGCTTTTCAGAAATATGTAGGCAGTAGTCCTAGAAATCACTCTTAGGGGTTCCCCTGATAAGCTCAGAATGCATAAATAAATATTAAAAATAAAATGGAGTGCTTATATTTCAAGCTGTAAGAAATGGCAGCTCTATTAAATATACCATATTACTCTGTTTCCAGCATTGCTTTGACTTTAGAAAATGCATAACTAGATTGGGTAAAGTCTAAGTGATTAAGGTACAGGGCTAGAAGTAGGGAATCGCAACATGAGACTCAGGTGCTTTCCCTCATTACCAGGGCTGAACAAGTGATTATATTGCAGTGCCAGTATTGAACTTCCTGTGTCCTGTAGCTCATGTGCTGGCATTAAACCTGATGGCTTGAATCTTTGTTTAGCCAGCCAATAGTGTTGAAGTTCCACTGTCCCTCCTGACTTCTGTTTTTGTCCCTAGAGGTAAATGGAAAAGGGAGGCTTCTGGGGAAGAGGAGGATGAAAATGGTGGGGAGCAAGGCTCCAGTGCAGATAGTGAACCAGAACAGAAGAAAGTTAAAGCCAGGAGACCAGTCCTGAGAAGGTGAGGAGGGATTGAATTTACTTTCCCTTTTATATTGTATGTCTCTTTAACTTCCAGTGCTTTTAAAGGTACCCGGTAAGTGACATTCCATAGGAAATTGCTGTTTTAGCAGGTGTGTGTGTTCTGGGAGCAGCCAAGGGACAAATTAACAGTCAGCCAAAGTGTGCAGTAGTCTCCTGGGGGAAGCAGTTGGAAACCTCACCCTCTTGAGTAATTTATTAAATGACTGGCTAATATGCAGGAGGGACCAGTCCTGCACTGACTGGAGAGGGAATTGTCTACATGCCCATACAGATCTTTTCCCTCATTGATGTTATCCTCACTTATTCTGTGGCCTGATTCTCCTCTCACGTGAAACTGGTATACATTGGTGTAACTCTGTTGATGTTAGTGGAATTGTTCCTGATTTACATTGGTGTACACAAGAGAAGAGTCAGGCTCTAGGCATCTAATGTTCGGGATGTACACTTCCTTGTGGACTGGGAAGTCCTACTGAAATGCACTCCTTGTGTACAACGCACTGTATTATATCTTTTTGTTAATACTCATTTTAGAGCAGTGGTCAAAGCCAGTGTTAAAAAGCCCCACAAGCCCCAACGTGGTAAGAGGAGAAAGAAACAAGACTCGTCTGAAGATGAAGATGATGATGAAGATGATGAGACTCCCAAAAGGCAAACACGGCGCAGAGCGGCCAAAAATGTCAGGTACTGCAGGGATTTTGAATTGCATAGTAACCAGAGCTGGGGCTTAGAAGTCAGGATACCTGTTTAATGTCAGACTTGCTGTGTAATCTGGAGCAAGGCAAGGAGAACCATGCAGGCAAACTGTATGCTGCGTGGAGCTCCACTGCCTCTTTACAAGATCTGGTTCTTGGTCATTTAACCTCTCCATAGCTCATGGTATCCATTTACTGTAAAGCATACAGTACTTGCTTACTACCTCAGACGGGTGTTGGGTGGTTTAGTTAATGTTTCTAAGATGCTTTGAGATCAGATTAAAGATGCTATAGAAGTGCAAAGTATTAGACAGAAATGGATGCAAAGTTGCCAGCTGCAGATACTTGTCAGTAGCTAAAAGCTTGTAAAAGATGAGATACGGGTTCCCAGCATTTGGTGGACACCTATTGAAGCAGTCAACATGCTGTTATTCTCATGCTTCAGGGAATAGACCAGCCCCTCACCAGTGAGGAATAGAAAGAAACACTCCCCATAAGCAGGTTATTCCATAATTGCTTACTGCAGGGGTTCTTTTACCTCCTGAAGCAACTGCTACTGTCAGAAGCAGGAGACTGAACTAGATGGACCACTCATCTGATCTTGTATAACTAGCCCTGTTTTTTAAGAGGCAGAGAGTAAACTTTTAGCCCAGCTGAATGGCTGATCTGAGAAACTCAAACAATGTCTTACACAGTGAAACCCAACATAGATGCTGGAGGGGCTTGCCTGTGTCATGCCAGGCTGTGTGCGTATGTCTTTGGATTTAAGGAAAGACAAGAGCTTTTTGCCATCTTGGTATTTGGTTTTGTGCAGTTACAAAGAAGACGATGATTTTGAGACGGATTCCGATGACCTGATTGAGATGACTGGGGAAGGGGCCGATGAACAGCAGGACAACAGCGAGACCATTGAGAAAGTCATGGACGTCAGGGTTGGAAAGAAAGGAGGTGTGTAGCTTTGAGAGTCAGATTAGGATTCTGGGTCTAGTCACATCCACGCTCTGGTTCTCCTGCACTGGTGTAATGCTGCTGAAGTGTTTGGGTTTCCACCAGTGGAGAAGGATTTTTAAATCTCCTCCTCCACGTGTTTGTTGACCCCCGTCAAAAAATTCTGATAGATTGGTGAGGCATGATTTATTCCCCTTTACAAAAGTTATGTTGACTCTTCCCAAACACATTGTGTTCATCTGGGTGTCTGATAATTCTGTTCTTTACTATGGTTTCAATTAGTTTGCGTGGTACTGAAGTTAGGCTTACTGGCCTGTAATTGCCTGGATCGCCCCTGGAGCCTTTTTAAAAAATTGGCGTTACTTTAGCTATCCTCCATCATCTGGTACAGAGACTGATTTTAAGCAGTTGGTTAAATACCACAGTTAGTTGTTCTGTAGTTTCATATTTGAGTTCCTTCAGAACTTTTGGTCCTGGCGATGTATTACTGTTTAATATAATCAATTTATTCCAAAACCTCCTCTATTGACACCTCAGTCTGGGACAGTTCCTCAGATTTGTCATCTAAAAAGAATGGCTCAGGAGTGGGAATCTCCGTCACATCCTCTGCAGTCAAGACCGATGGGAAGAATTCATTTAATTTCTCCACAATGGCCTTGTCTTCCTTGAGTGCTTCTTTAGCACCTCAATTGTCCAGTGGCTCCACTGATTGTTTGGCAGGCTTCCTGTTTCTGATGTACTTAAAAAAAAATAAAAAAAACAATCTAAGGGGCATTTTCTGTCAAGAGATATTTCCGTATGGTTGTAGTAGGATCAGGGGCTCTGTGGGATGTTCTTTATGCTGCCATAAAAGACGCACTAGCTAGAAAAACAACTCCCTGCTTCAACTCTATTCAGTTTGTTTCACTGCCTGGCTAATAAAAGCACCAATTGCAAACCAGTTTAATTTGCAACTTTTTTTTTTTCAGCCACTGGTGCTTCTACCACTGTGTATGAGACTGAAGCCAACGGTAACCCCAGCGCTGACTTTGACCCAGAAAAGGATGAGGGAGAGGTTCAATACTTGATCAAGTGGAAGAGCTGGTCGTACATTCACAGCACATGGGAGAGCGAAGAGTCCCTGCAGCAGCAGAAGGTGAAGGGCCTGAAAAAATTAGAGAACTTCAAGAAAAAAGAGGATGAAATCAAACAATGGTACGTTTTTGCCTAAGACAAAAATCGGTGTCTAGCCTTGCTTAGGAGGTTCTTCAGTAGCAGGGGACACCTGAGCTTTGTCCAAGCGACGGCTGTTCAGACAACTTGCCAGAAGCTCATGGTCCATGCTGGATCACTGCTGTCATCTTCAATAAGCAGGGATATTGCTACTCGTTATGATGGGAAATTGAAAAGCCTGAGAATTTCCTCTTGTCTGCCCCTCCCTCGCCCCAGCTGGGTGTCCTTCTGCAGAGCCTGTCTGCTGAGGGTAGGGCTCGAGAACTGTTTTCTTTGGCGCCTGACTGGACAAGACAGATCTCTCTTCTGTTCAGCATCAGTTTCATGGGTATCGTGCTTGTGGCCATGATGTAAGTCAGATTGGAGGCAGTACTCCGGGGGTTAGAAATCATCCAAATCTGAGTATTGGGCCAAGTGCTAGAGAACTAGTCACATATGGATGCAGGGTGCAGAGGTTGCAGGTCCCAGCAAGTTGGTGTGCATGTGCGCCCGCGTAGCTGCATTCTGATGAAGACGAAACGGTACCTGCTGGGACATCAGTCAACATCTTTGTATTGAAAATGGGGGCAGCCGCAGGCTCCGTTGTTCAATCTTGCCTCACAAGTTGCTTCTTGGCTGCCCCGCTTGAGCAGAAATTCAGGGCTTGACTACACTCAGTTTTTATACCAGTTTAACTCTGTCAGTTTAGAAACCCAGCATGCCCTAATGTGGCTGCAGGTCTATCTGTATAAAAGTACTTACATGGGGTTAGCATATTTAGCTAAGGGTCTAAACTGGTGGAGCTTAATCGGCACAAAAACTGCACAAGTCTGTTCTAGCTGAGTACATTTATAGAATCGCTTATGGCAGTGCTTCCCACTGCTGATCCCTGGTTTTTAAGATGCAGGCAGTGTCTGTTCTGCTGGGACCGAGCCTCCCAGCTCGGGCAGGTAGATTCAAGTGGAGCTAGCTCACTAAAGATAGCCATGTGGATATTACGGCTCGGGCAGCAGCTTCTCAAGCCCTCTCAGCCCCTGGTCTGGGCCTGGGCGACTAACCCAAGCTTCTGCCGCAATGTCCACGCTACTGTTTTTAATGCGCGAACTCAAGGGAAGCTAGCGTGAGTCTGCCTACTGGGGCTGTGAGGCTCACTCCCAGCTGCAGTGTGGATAAACCCTGAGCCGTGGGAGAGACAAATGTTGTCACCCAGTACAGCACAGATAAGCAATTAGACGTAGTACTGAAAATACATCAGCCCATGCGGTGTACAATGGTCACACTTTAAAAACTTGCCAGTTTTGTCTTAGATATGGTTTATTTCCAAATTTGCAAAATTCTCTTTCCTTTCTACAGAGAATCTGTGGGCTACTATGGGTATGCAGGTGATGTTATCTAAGGCAACTGGCAAGGTTTACAGGGCAACCTCTGTAAATGTTTTGCAATGTGATGTTTAGTTTGCAGAAAGCTGATTTTATTTAAGGGGTAGGTTATTTTTGGATCCAAGCCTTACTGCACGAATGGGGTCTGTTGATCTCTGGATCAGTGTATGTCCAACTGATGCTGGTAGAAGTCACACATGTGTGTTAAGGGGAGACATGCTTAGCTCAAGAAGTATTAAAAAAAAATGGTGAACTGGTCAGTTTCTAACACAGTAAATCAGTAGGGGGCTTTTGGCATGAACTTGCGGTAAGCCATAACCCAGTGGTAAAATTTTGCAAAAAGTACTCTAAGCAACGTTCCTTCTAAATTTACTTTATACTGAGCAGGCTACAAACTCCACAGAGTATTATCTTTATTTGCCTTTGGGCAAACTTACGCTCTTATCTTTTTATGCTGAACTAACATGGTGGGGGTGGCGAGGGGTGGTCCCGCCCAGTATCGCACATTTGTGGGGTCCCAGAAGGAAGCCATTTGCTCAGTAGCAGCGACCTTAGAAGTCTGTGTGAGTGTGGATGGGTCTGACTGTCTTTCCCCCAGGCTTGGGGTTTCAGACCCTCCACCGGTTGCTCCCAGGAAGGAGCCCAGGCTGCAGCTCCTTCCTCCACCGTCTCTTGGCATCAGCAACTGCTGTGTCCCTGGAAACCAACTGTGCAGGTGTGGGATGTTGTGGCCCCATCACGCTGCAGCTGTCGAGCCTCTGCTCACCCAGGCTGGCACCGCGGAGGTGGGCCCCTCACCTGAGCTCCTGCATGGGGGGCATCCTCCCTCCACAGCACCGCTGCTGCTGCTGCCGCCTTCTGGCTGAGCCACGCACAATGTGTCCCTGAGACCGGAAGTGCTTTCGCTCCCCCCCGCAGCAAGGAGTGGAACCGCATATACCCTGTGAATGAGCGGAGGGCTGCAGGCAGAGCAGGGTCTTAAATGACCACCGCACGTCCCTGCTGGAGCCAGGAGACGAGAGACAGTTTCTGACCTGCGTAGTATATACAAGGTTGTTGCGTGGTCATATGTGCGTGCTGTTTACAGGGAACATTGACCCTAAGTCCTATTTTTGAAAGTGATTGAGGCACTTGGGCATCTAAATGCCAGTGACTTTCAAGGAGGCTTAGGGTGTATCTGCATTGCAGTGAGGTGTGTGACAGCAGTACGTGTGGACATACCTGAGCTAGGTTTGATGGAGGCAGCTAGAACAGCAACAGCAATAAGGCTGCACCAGCACAAGCTAGCTGCTCAAGGACATACCCAGGGCTTGTACAGCCCTTGCTGCTCCCAATCCAAGCTAGCTCACGCTTCTGATTGCAGTGCAGATGTAGCCTAAGTCTCCTACATGCCCAAGTCGCTATTGAAGATGGGACTTTAAGCTCCTTGGTCATGTAAGTCCTTTTGAAAATGTTACCCCATGTCCCTGTCCGAGAACAGATCTTCAAGTAGAAGCGACACCTGAGAGGTTTCCTTGTGTGGGAGCTGCGAGCCTGTTGGCAACTTCATAGAAATGTAGGGCTGGAAGGGACCTTAAGACATCAAGTCCAGTCCCCTGTGCTGTGGCAGGACAAAGTAAATCTATACCATCCCTGGCAGGTGTTCGGGGGGGTTTAAGAACAGGCTGGACAATGACTGGGATTCCACAAGCTCCTTTAGAAGCCTATTCCAGAGTTTAAATACCTTTATTGTTAGAAAGGTTTTCCCGATATCTAACCTATGTCTCCTTTGTTTTAGATTAAGGCCATTCAGTACTTCTTGTCCTTCAGTGGACATGGAGAGCAATTGATCACCATCTTTTTTGTAACAGCCCTTAACATATTTGAAGACTGTTATCAGATTTCCCCCCTCTCAGTTGTTTTTTTCAGGACTAAACGTGCCTGGTTTTTTTAACCTTTCCTCATAGGTCAAGTTTTCTAAACCTTCTATTACTTTTGTTGCGCTTCTCTGGACCTCTCCAGTTTGTCCACATCTTTCTTGAAATGTAGTGCGCAGAACTGGACACATTACTTCAGCTGTCATATCACAGTATGTTCTGGGATACCGGAGTGCTGAGGGTTCCCTCCTTATGTAAAAGCTTATGTATTTCTAAAGAAGAAGTGAGGTTTTTACCCACGAAAGCTTATGCCCAAATAAATCTGTTAGTCTTTAAGGTGCCACCAGACTCCTTGTTGTTTTTATAGTCAGGTAGAGTTTTAACAGCTGGTCTTGAGCATCGCTATCCACAAAGCGAGCAGAAGTAGAATTGTTCTTACATATGCTTCTCCCTCTACTCCCATTTCTTTTCTCTCCAGGCTAGCCAAGGTAACTCCTGAAGACGTGGAATACTTCAGCTGTCAACAGGAGCTCGCTGCAGAGTTGAACAAACAGTATCAGATAGTGGAGAGAGTGATTGGTAAGTGAAATAGAATCATAGAATTATAGACTTTAAGGTCAGAAGGGACCATTATGATCGTCTGGTCTGACCTCCTGCACAATGCAGGCCGCAGAATCTCACCCACCCACTCTTGTATCAAACCCCTAACCTATGTTTGAACTACTGGCGTCCTCAAATTGTGGTTTAAAGACTTCAAGGTGCAGAGAATCCTCCAGCAACGGACTCATGCCCCACACTGCAGAGGAAGGCGAAAAACTCCCAGGGGCTCTGCCAATCAGCCCTGGAGGAAAATTCCTTCCTAACCCCAAATATGGTGATTAGCTAAACCCTGAGCATGTGCGCAAGACTTAGTGCACCTTTCTAAAAAAGGAATAGTAAGACCCAGGAATTCAAGTTTTATTTGGGTCACAAGAATGAATGTGTGGTGTTTTCACACCTCTCTGGGGAATAAACTGGTGCTATGTATCCTGTAATGTGTGGAAATCTAAAGGTTAAAGCACAGGAGATCTGGGTTCTAGTGATGCATCTGTAAACAACTTGAGCAAGTCACTTTCCCTCTCTTTGCCTCAGTTGTCCCAACTGTAAAGTGGGATTAATAATCCCTATTTCCTCGGGCTGCCTTGATTAACTTATTACTGTTTGTAAAGTGCTTTGAAATCTTTAGATGGAAGATTCTGTTGAAGAGCAAAAGTAGAGTGTTGTGAGGACCTCTCAGGATAACATTGTTTGACAGTGAAGCTTGCATGACAGATCAGGGTTTAGGTTTTTATGAGTAGTGACAAAATGTGGTGGTGTAGCTTTCACAGCAGCTCAGTAACATCACACTGATCTCAGCAGGAGCTGTGGGTATCCAGTGCCTTTGGAAACTAGGCCTGAAGAGTTCAGTGGTGTTCTCTAACAATCTTTCTATGCATTGTAGAGAACTTTTAAAAAACCCTCCTAACTGGTGGGAACTGTAGAATATCTTTTATGCATCTCATCCTGGTGATTAAGACACTAAAACCATTCTTTGTTTGCTTCTGAAAACGTAGCTGTGAAGACCAGCAAGTCTGCAATGGGACATTCTGAGTTCCCAGGTAAAGTGGCCTTTAACTCCCTTTCTGGCTCCTCTAAACAATGCTATTAGCCGTGACATGTATTATGGCGGCAGTCTAAGGTCATGACTGCCTTAGAGTTCAGTTGCTCATGGTTGCATTTCTGTAATGTGTTGCAGCTCACAGTCGGAAATTGTCCTCTAATGAGCCCGAATATCTGTGCAAGTGGATGGGGTTGCCGTATGCAGAGTGCAGCTGGGAAGATGAGGCCTTGATTAGCAAGAAGTTTCAACACTGCATTGACAGCTTCAGCCATCGCAACAACTCCAAAACCATTCCCACTCGGGACTGCAAGGTTCGCACGCTTCCTTTCTCTCTTGTGGTGGGCTTGCTCTGGGTTTCTGAATGCTGAAGTTCGCGCTGTATTTAGATGATAAGTGATGCAAGAATTTCTACGGGGATGGTTATCACTTGAGGAGATCGCCTTTGCCTTTCTCCCTCTCGCATGTCAGTTTTTTTTCCAGGGGTTCTCTGCATCCTTTTCAGTTCCTTCTCCCAATTCTCAAGGCCCTGAAACACATACACCATCTGTTCCTTGAAAACCAATGGCTGGGACTCCCCTTGGAGAGCTCTTTAACTCGACTTCCTTAGTCGTCTGGAGGGGTTAGTGCTAAGCTTTACAAATCACTTACTCCCTCTTGCTTAGCAGCTATCCGTGCTGTCTCTTCAGCATGCTAAGGCCAGGCTGGCATAGAACGCAGAATCAAGAACTGGCATGAGTTAACCCTGGAAGTCAAGGGAAATAACAATGGAACTTTATATCCGTGGGAAGTGTCTGTAATAGGTTCCTACTAGGGCTGTTGATCACGTAATTAACTCAAAAAAATGAATTGTGATTAAAAAAATTAATCTCGATTAATTGCACTATTAAACAATATAATACCAAGCGAAATTTATTAAATATTTTTGGATGTTTTTGTACTTTTTCAAATATATTGATTTCTTTTACAACACCAGAATACCAAGTGTACAGTGCTTACTTTATATTATTTTCGATTACAAATGTTTGCACTGTAAAAGTGATAAACAAAATAAATAGTATTTTTCAATTTACCTCATACAAGTACTGTAGTGCAGTCTCTTTATTGTGAAAGTATACCGTACAAATGTAGATTTTTTTTGTTTGTTACAGAATCTGCACTCAAAAACAAAACAATGTAAAACTTTAGAGCCTACAAGTCCACTCAGTTCTAGTTCTACAGCCAGCTGTTAAGACAAACAAGTTTGTTTACATTTACAGTAGATAATGCTGCCTGCTTCTTCTTTACAATGTCACCTGAAAGTGAGAACAGGTGTTCACGTGGCACTTTTGTAGCCGGCATTGCAAGGTATTTACGTGCCAGATATGCTAAACATTCATATAATCAAAAATGAATATAAAGTGAGCACTGTACACTTTGTATTCTGTGTTGTAATTGAAATAGATATATTTTAAAATGTAGAAAACATCCAAAAATATTTAAATAAATGGTATTTTATCGTGTGATCAATCGCGATTAATTTTTTTAATCGCTTGACAGTCCTAGTTCCTACCCATCTAAAATACATCAGACTTCCTGGATAAATATATCCTCTCCAATTCCTGTTGATCCAGGAGAAAATAAGGCATATAAATACTCCCTTCCTTAGGGGGGAAAGCAGACTTCTGCTTAGTGTTGAGTCGATTTCTACCAGTGTTTTGGAATGAATGCTCACTGTTTTTGTACAATTACTTTGTCTAATATCACAGATAGATAGATGAATCCCTTTGCATCTTATCCCATCTATAAATTGGGCACAATAATACTTATGTACCCAGAGGTGGAATATGAGGCTTAATACTTGTAAAATGCTTCATGAGCCACATTATAAAAGGGGGAGTTAGAAATGCAAAGTTTTAGTATTACTGAAAGAAAAGGCAACACACCAGGGAGGAAGAGGAATAGAGGATGTTGCACCATATCAATTAAAATGAAGGGGGCAGGAGGATGATAAAAGAATGAAGCGAAGAAAAGAGGCCGAGGGGGATGTCCTGCAGCTCTGATACTCTGAGATTGGGCGGGCAAGCAGGAGGTGCTAGCAAACCGTTGTCACTGATGGATCTCGTTGCTGCCGAGTGGGTGGCTAAATTGCAGTTATAAGTACTCTCTCTGTATATATCATATACCCATGTATCACCGCAGTTTTTATTTAGTGAGTTCGAAGGCCTGCCTCATTCTTTTCTTCAGTGAGTTTAAGGAGTCTGCCTTTTTAGGTGTTGAAGCAGAGACCCAGGTTTGTTGCTTTGAAGAAACAGCCTTCTTACATTGGTGGCGAGAACCTGGAGCTCCGAGATTACCAGCTGGAGGGGCTCAACTGGCTTGCTCACTCGTGGTGCAAGTATGTAATGCTCTTGCTTTGGGTAATGCTCTAGTTTTGTTCAGGGTTGCAGTTTTTAGAACTATTGAGCCATATTTAGTCATCATGTTTCCCCGTTACACCACAGCAGGATCTGGCTCTGTTGTGATGTTTTTACCTGCCCTGCTTCAGCACCTTTAAAGCTCAGGATCTCAAACGTTGTCACACACATCCAGCAAAAATATCCAGGCCTCCTGCTAAAAGGGGAGGAAAAATTCTCTCTTTTTGGCAACGAAGGGGGAACCCAGTTGCATTGCTAGGATTCAGTATGAACACGTGCACACGAAGCACCATCTTGATTTGACTGCCTTGCTGTTTCTTTGGCACTGCAGGATTGGCAAATGGAGACCATCGTAAAATGTGAGCTCAAGAGATAGTGAGAGAAGATCTTCTCCCCTCATTGTCCTGTGGGGCGTGGTCTCTGATGTGCATGGGCAGGTGTGTTTCTCTGGCTCAATGCTGGGGAGATAGAATAATATGTTTGGTCCACTGGCCTGAGCCAGTGTGGCAAACCCTGTTTACCTGATAATCAATCAGAAGATAAATCTCTCTCTCTCAGCTTTCTTGAGCCATCTCCGTAGGAGAGACCCATCGTTTGAGAAACACTCTTCTAACTCTGTTGACTTTTTGTCTTTGCATTTGCTTGCCAATTTGGTGGCAAATGAAGTCCAAACTTTGACCCTGTCACTCATAAGTGATTCTTTGTAGAGCAGGTCAGTCTGAATTGCTCTGGGATCTGCTTGGCAGTAGTTCAGTGACCTTTTGCAAGGCATACATTTCATTCTCTGTCATTACTTGTTGGCACTTAGTAAATTGATACAGAGTTATATTTATTACACCTTTATTTTTGTTTCTCCACCTTTCAGGAACAACAGCGTGATCTTGGCTGATGAAATGGGCTTGGGGAAGACTATCCAGACAATATCATTCCTCTCCTATCTCTTCTATCAGCATCAGCTGTATGGCCCTTTCCTGATAGTGGTGCCCTTGTCCACTCTGACCTCATGGCAGAGAGAGTTTGAAATCTGGGCACCAGAGATTAACGTGGTCGTTTACATAGGAGACATGATGAGCAGAAACACGGTGTGTAAATAAAAGGCAGAGCGGGTGGGAGAGGGGAGAAAGCCTCATGCAGAAAGAAAATCTCTGTGCATAGATTATATGTAGCGTATGGTTCTGTAGAGAGGCAAACTCTGGGTTGACATTATAGCTATAACTGTGTAGTTTGGCCAGGTTCACTAGAGTAGAGGCCTCTGGGTCTCGGCCTTCCCATCGCTTAAATAATGTGTGTACAGTGATTGTTTTATTGAGCAATGGAGGTGCAGACAGGTAGGACTTTATGGGGCAATATAGGAAGCCTCAGGTTATGACTAATAATGAGACAGTTAATATCAAATGAATACAGATATTGGGAGGATTAAACTGCCCAGGAGATCTGGTTTAAATTATTGGCTCTGCCGCAGACTGCCTCTCTGAGTTTGGGTAAATCACATGATCTCTGTGCCTCAGTTCCCCATCTGTAAAAGGAGGATGATAATCCTTCTTCTTGCCCACCCTTTGTCTCTCCCCTCTGTAGATTATGGACTTTTCGGGGGAGTCTGTCTCTTACCATGTGTCTGTACAGCACCTAGCACAGTGGGCCACGTTCTTGGCTGGGACCCGTGGGTGCTACAGATAATAAGAATGGAGTGTGCCCCTTTAACAGCTCCGGTTGACGTTTGTGTCTGAACTGTTGTCTTCTCTCCCAGATCCGTGAATATGAGTGGATCCATTCTCAGACTAAAAGGCTGAAGTTCAATGCACTTATCACAACATATGAGATCCTCCTCAAAGATAAGGTATGTAGTGGGCAAGGGGTATTTCACATAAACTACCTCATGCTGCACAAATGGGGCTGCCTCCCTCCAAACCAGTGTGTCTTGCACTGTTCGTAGACCATACGATGATGCTCCAGAGCTGTTTCTTTCCCCCCACCCCACCCCTCTGGTAATTGAGAACACATAGATGCAGCCTACCATTACTTGGCGTGCTTACAAAACTACAGAGTCTGCTATAAATATTGCACAGTAGTAGTATTGTTCATGATTACACGTACTTATAAAGCACCTCTCACTGTGGTATCTGGGCTAGCTGTATCTGTCTTAATTTGGACTATTAACATACTCAGTAAGAAGAACAAAACACTTAATTCCCTTGCTGCCCACAAGTGTTTGACGTGGGCTGGAGAGGGAGGGTGTTGGAATTGGGGATGGTGGGGTTAATGCACCCCCCATATCAGAGGGATGAAATCACATGGCTTTTACACTTACAGAAAGAGAGAGCTGCCTGGAGTGTGCCAGAAGGCCCTACCAATGAATCCAGTGTGAGAACAGAGAACTTGAAAAAAAAAAAGAATACTGAGTGGTGAATACACCGCTTTATCGCCACAGGCAGATTAGCTGCTCTGGTGTTGATGCTTCCCCAGCACAGTGCATGCTGGGGCTAGTGAGCACAGCAGGGACTCCGCAGTCATGGGGGCGGGAGGTGGATTAAAGGAAGAGGAATGTGGGATAGGGAAGGGATGTGCTTTAGGAATTTAAAAAGGAGAAATGGTCGATTTAAAATCCATCTGTTAGCTGAAATATGTTTGGGGCATTTAGCTTGTAAATGTTTCTGTTCACCTCTGAGTGGACCCAGAATTGGTGTGGCGTGCTTGTCCCAAAGGCATGTCGCCAAAAGAAATGCTTCTTGGTTAGGCACACTGAAGACAGAAGGTGCTCAGACACCACAGCGATGGGTGCAGTATAAGAATTTGAATAGAACATAATGGAATGCAATTATTACAACACTACACAGCTGACGTCAGGCCCACAGAGAAATGAACATAAAACACTTGTGGGGCCAGTCTGATCTGGTGTGTCCTTTGGTTTTGTTTTTTTGCTCCAGACTGTTCTGGGCAGCATTAATTGGGCCTTTCTGGGTGTGGACGAAGCCCATCGGTTGAAGAACGATGACTCTTTGCTGTATAAAACTCTGATTGATTTCAAGTCCAACCACAGGCTCCTGATCACTGGGACCCCGCTTCAGAATTCTCTCAAAGAGCTCTGGTCACTGCTGCACTTTATCATGCCGGAGAAGTAAGCCTCCTTACTGTGTACTTCAAAAGATACCAGTATGTGTTCATTGTCAAATACCATCTCTTAACTAGACAGGGAGTATGAAATGACTTAGTTTTGGAAGACACAGAAAGAAGTGAGTAAAACTTGAATGGGTGAGAGTCACAGAGGGGGAAAACCCAATGAAGAGGGAAAGTGGCAAGGGCTGAGAGGTAAATGAATGGTGGAAAGAGGTAAACTGTGTTGGCAACAGGCGGGCTGGGTAACGCCTCCATCACGGTCTTCTGGGAGGGCCACATCCAAAGAGCCAAACGCCTGTTTTAAGGAACCATTCAAACCATTTTTGAGGCTTCGATTAAAAAAAGGAGGCCTGTGAATGAGACAGTAAAATAACGGGGCAAAAAAAGCAAATTTCAAAACTGTGAAACACAATCTAGTTGGAAGATTCTTTCCACGGAGGGAGCTACAGACTATACAAAAACTGCTGCCACGTGAGCATTGCTCCAGGACAGAATAAGGGGCCTTTGGGTAGACTGTGATTTTAATTGAGGAGGATCCATATGGAGCCACAAAGATCAAGGTGTAAAAACATTTAAAAATGCCATAGTCCCATTTTCAAAAGTGACCTGGGCTCTTAGAAGCCTGAATCTCATTGGCTCTCAATGAGATTTGGGATCCTAAGCGTCTGAGTCATTTTTGAAAATGAGATGTGGGCTCCTAAGTCACTTAGGCATTGTTTGAAACTTTTACCCTGTGGCTAATAATGTGATGCAGGCCTCTTGAAGAAGTGAAGAAAAAGAGCTGGAGATCCTTTGGCTATAATTAAAAGGCTACGATTTAGTCACGGAGGTCACGGCCGTCACGGATTCCGTGACTTTACTGGACCTCCGTGACTTTGTGCGCCCCTGGTCCGCGGCTTGCGGCGGGAGCCATGTGCCCAGATACCGTTCCCAGGGCTGCAGCGGGGGGCCGCATGCCCTTTCTCCGCCAGCTGCGGCTAGGGCTGTGCGTCTGTGGTTGGGGTTAGAGCTGGGACTGTGTGCCCCTGTCCCACAGCTGCGGCCAGCCCCAGAGGTGGGGCTGTGCGCCGCCCCCTCCCCCCATGGCCACACACCCCTGTTGTGACTGCAGCTGCTAGAGCCAGAGCTGTGGGGACTTGGCCTATCAGTGCCCCCCTATTGGACTCCAGCTGTCATTCCTCCCCCGCCCCCCCACTTAGCCCTGCTCTCTTATTTTTAGTAAAAGCATGGACAGGTCATGGGCACCCATGAATTTTTGTTTATTGCCCATGACCTGTCCGTGACTTTTACTAAAAATAACTGTGACAGAATCTTAACCTTAGCTAGAATGTACCTGCTACAGCGATTGTAACCTGCTGGAGTAAGGACCGGGTTCTGAGATACTGAATTATTTTGATGGCTAAATGGAAGTGGTATTCTTCGCTTCCTGTCTCAAACTGTTGCATAGTGTTTCTGTGCAATGTTTAGATTGCCATTTAATTCAGCTGGTTTTGGATCAGGCCCTTAAACTGCTGACACATTATACCCCCACAGCATTTACATCTCACCAGTCTGTTACCCTGGGTACAGTTCGGAATCTGTGGGGTAAAGTATTAAGGACATATGAGGTGTGTGTTGGTAGCAGATGGCTTAGAAACACAAGGCGGGTGAGGTAATATATTTTATTGGCCCAACCTCTGTTGGTGAGAGACACAAGCTTTCGAGCCACACAGCTCTTCTTCAGGTCTGGGAAAGGAACTTCCAGCGTCACAGGAAAATGCCAAGCGCAACTTATTGTTTAGCATAAGTAATTAGTGCACATTGTAAGAGACCGTTCACGGTAAAATGGCCTTTTAACACCCCTGCAGTCATAGGACAAAAAAGGGGGCTAGTGGGTTGCAGATTGTTGTAATAAGCCATAAATCCAGTATCTTTATTAAGACCATGGTTTTTAGCGTCTAGTGAAGTTATGAATTTAAGTTCCCAGGTTCTTCTTTTGAAGGTGTTGTGCAGGTTTCCTTTGAGGATGAGGACTGACAGGTGAGATATGGAGTGATTGTTCCATGAAAAGGGTTCACCCCCGGGTGAATCATGCTTGTCTTTTATCATTTTTCTGTGTGAGTTCATTCAAGAGTGCAGTGATTGTCTGGTTTTGCCCACATAGTTGTTATTTAATGTTTAGTACACTGGATGGGGTACACCACATGTGATAGGCATGTGTAGGACTCATGGATCTTGAAAGATGTGTTGGGAGTGGTATTGATAGTTGTAGCAGTAGAGGTGTCTCCAGGTTTTGCATCTGTTGTTCTGGCAGGGTCTGGTGCCACTTTAAGTTGGTGAGTCCTGATCTGTGAGGAATTTGCTTCTGATGAGGTTGGGGGGTTGTTTGAAGGCCAGAAGAGGGGGTTGAGGAAAGATTTCTTTCAGGATGTGGTCCCTATTGAATAGGGGTTGTAACTGTTTAATGATACCCCATATGTGTTCCAGCATGGGGTGGTAGATGACAACTAGGGGTGTGCAGTCGGAGGGTTTTTCCTCTGTATTAAAGCAGGTTCTCATGGGGTATTTGGGTGACCCCCTTCCTGGATGCAATCTACTTCTCTGGTGGAGTGTCCTTGTTTGGTGAAGGCAGTTCTGAGTTTAAGGTGTGTGTCCCGGACTGTCTCCTCGGAGCATATTTTATGGTGTCTGAGGGCTTGGCTGTAGATAACAGATTTCTTTGTGTGTTTGGGGGGGTTACTAGATCTGTGAAGGTGAGTGTCGTGATCCGTGGGTTTTTTGTATGTTGTTACCTGTAGGGCTCTATTGTTGAACCTGACCATGGTGTCCATGAAGTTGATGCTGGTGGTGTGGAAGTGATCTAGAGAGAGCTTGCTGGATGGGTGGAAGTGGCTGAAGTTGTGGTGGAAATCTATGAGGAAATTTAGATAATCTGTCCAGAGGATGAAAATGTCATCCACATATCTCATGTATCATTGGTTTTGTAGTGCCTTTGTCCAGAAATTCTTCCTCAAGGTGGCCCAAGAAGAGGTTGGCATATTGGGGAACCATCCTAGTACTCATATCTGTTTCTGTGGTGTGGACAAAGTGTTTGCTGTTGTATGTAAAATGGTTCTGGGTGAGGATGCAATGGATGAGTTTAGTGACATTTGGAGTGCATATCTGAGTGTTTTCCATTGTTTTGTAGATATTTGAGGCAGGCAGCAAAGCCCATCGTGACATCGATGTTGGTGTATAGGGAGGTGACGTCCATGGTGGCAAGGATGATGTTCTGAGGGAGGTTGTTAATGTTGCAGAGTTTCTGGAGGAAGTTGGTTATGTCCTGGAGGAAGCTGGTCCTTTGTGTGGTGAGTGGTTTGAGGATGGTTTCTATAAGTCTTAATATTCCTTCAGTAACAGTACCACAGCTAGATATAACGGGTCTGGCTGGATTCCCTTCTTTGTGTGTCTTAGGAAGCATGTAGAAGATCCCTGGGGGTGGGGGTGGGGGTTGTGGGAGATGAAGTTGTAGAGTTTCTCTTGGAGTTGTTTGGGGAAAGATTTGATGATATCCTTAAATTCCTGGGTGAATTGTGGTGGGTGGGGGTCTTTGAGTTCTTTATAGTAGGTGGAGTCAGAGAGAAACTTAAAGTCAGGGGAGAAGTTTGGGCTAGAAGGAAGGGATTACAGGGCAGTATTGCAAAGACCTGACTTCATTCAGTATAATATACGTCAGTGATCTGAGAGTAGCAACATGCTTTGAAATGATTACATTCTTGGTTAAAAAAAATGGAGTGAGTGAGGGAGAAATACAAAAGACAGAATGATTTAGAGAGGTTAGGTAAGCAGAGACATGGCTTGCACAATTCACTGTGTAGATAATTGTTAGGTTCTAGAGCTAAAATCAAAGATGTGAAAAGAAGATCATTATCTTCAAATGCTGAGGTATCTAGACGTTATGAATGTTCATTGTCTGCTACTGTTTTAAATAACACACTTTCATATTGTACAGAAGTTCATATTTACCTCCGAAACTCAGAGGCACAGAAGAAATACTTCTACTGATCAAGATGTCCCTGTTAACGAGATCTGTTGCTATTTACTGTGTCAAATGGGCAAGGAACATCTTGGGATTCTATAAGTTTGTGCAGGATGATTGTGAAGGTTATCAGCCCCCGACTTCTGCACGTAGTGCTGGGCATTCCCCTTGCTATTACTCCAAAGCGTGTTCTCTAATCTCTCTCGAAATTATTGTTGATGTCTCCATATCCTCTTGGTGACTGTTTTATTGTCTAGTTGCTCTTCTTGTTAGGAAAGATTTCCCCATATCAAGCCGTTCTTCAGCTTGAAGCTGCTCCTTTTTGTAGTACATCCAAACTAAGCCTCAACTGAGAATCCCCCCCCACCCCTTTTTTTTTAATGTTACGTATTCGCCACGATTTTACTTCAGGGCAATTCCCCCATGTAACCGGGGAATTATTACCAGAGTCCTTGATTAAAAACAGATTCGGTGGTAGTTGGTTTTTCCAAAGTAAAATGTAGTTCTTGGTAGGAACGATGGATTTAGCGTACCATCTTCCATTATCATCTTTCTCGAAAAGCTTCTTTGCCATGTTAATCACTGTACTCCTTATTCCTAAACGTAAGTGGGTTTATGTTTTGTGTGCTATGACCACCCATAGCTGCCATAAAAATATTTCCAGAATGTGGCTATTGCAGTCAGCTGTGGTTGGTCTAGCCCTGCCTTCTGAAGAGGGACAGTTTTGTTAACACAGTGGCTCTCCTGCAGTTCCATATACATTTCTTGATGCTTCGTCCACTGAAGTGAATTTCCCTTTTACTCAAAGACCGCTGTTCTAGTTCCTTTCTCAAAGAACCAGAGACCCTTAACAGTGTTGATCCTATAATCCCATTTTTGTTTCCCGTTGTAGGATATTTGTTATAGATAAAAAAGGCCTGACCCTTTGTTCCTGAGATCTAGGCTATATATGAAGGCAGCAGCTTAGACAGTGGTTGTGGCAAGGACCTAGGACACCAGTGTGTTATTCCCAGCTGTGCCACCAATTTGTTTTGTAAACTTGGGCAAGTCCCTTAATCTCTCTTTTTCATTTTACCCCTCCTGTAAAATGGTGATCACTTACGCAGCTCACAGGGGTGCAGAATAAATAGCTTGTGGGGCATTTTGAGGTCCTCAGCAGACTGGCATTGTGTCAGTGTCAACACAGCAGATGGTAGTTAAGAGGCCTTCTAACCCACCACTCCTAAATTGTACCACCAGGTTTGAGTTCTGGGAGGATTTTGAAGATGATCATGGGAAAGGGAGAGAGAATGGCTACCAGAGCCTTCACAAAGTCCTGGAGCCTTTCCTTCTGCGCAGGGTGAAGAAGGATGTGGAGAAATCCCTGCCGGCCAAAGTGGAGCAGATTCTCCGGGTGGAAATGTCTGCCCTGCAGAAGCAGTATTATAAGTAAGGCATTTACTGAGTTACTGAAGGTGCCCAGTGGAAACGGGTTTGATGGGTTACTTCATTGGTGTGTCTGGTGGCCGTAGTTCTGTATCCCCAAACCATTGTGGGATGCACCATAAGTGGCAGTCTCCTTCGGGGGGTGAGGGGGTGTTCTGGTGAGAAGCAAAGTAAGATGGTACAGCATCTTGCCTGTGTGTTGCCTGTCCCTAGGCCAGTGCTTCTCAACTTATTTATCATTGTTGGCCGCATATGCGATCCACAGTGTTACTTGGACCGCAGGGGCTGGGTGGCAGGGCAGCGGCAGCCAGGACCCTGACCCCCCACGCTGGCTGGGAGCCCCTGACCCCTGCCACGTGGGGCAGGCCGGCAGCCCCGACCGGACCAAGCCAGGACTTCGCCGCGTGGGCCTGCCTTTAGCACACAGCTGAGCTGGGCTGCCTGGGGCCAGTGGGCCACGGGTTGAGAACCACTGGCCTAAGGAGATGCTACAATTCACCCCACTGGGTGGTTTGTTTTTAAAGTGGAGTGATGATGTAATTTATCTTGTCAGCATCCAGAGTGGAGACCATGCCTGTCTTATTTCTGTAAAGGTCTGTGCACAACCATGGTGCCTTGTAATATTAAATAATAATGTCCCAGAAGGAGGAGGGTTGGGATTTCAAGTAAGGAGTAAGCAGAGTTTCATGTGATGGAAAAGGAGATGGGGAGAGAGAGAGAGGGGAACTGCCGCCCAGGCACAATTGTTTCTAACAGTTTCTCTGGAGAGTCGAGTCTGCACTGTCCCCCAGTGAAATGACAGGGCCTGACCTGAGGATTTGGTTTTGCCTACTGCTGCCTACAGGTGGATTTTGACAAGAAATTACAAAGCTCTCTCGAAGGGGACAAGAGGAAGCACGTCTGGCTTCCTTAACATCGTGATGGAGCTGAAAAAGTGCTGCAACCACTGCTATCTCATTAAACCTCCGGAAGAAAACGAAAGGGAGACTGGCATGGAGATGCTGATGGTGGGTAGTTGTTTGGCGGGTAATTGCTTTCCCCTTTATTTCCCCCATTCCTGCCTCCATGCCAAAACAATATCTTGCAAGCTGAGTTTCCTGTTGCCTCTGTCCCTTGGACATGCTCCCTAACTCCTCCCCACAGCCAAGCCGCTGCTTCTCCAGCCTTCCTCCCCGGTTAGGGGTTGCCTCGTGTCTGGCTAGATTGGATGTTTAGAATAGGATGAACATACAGCGTAAGATCACGCTTTGATGGTTTAGTCTCCGTCAAGCGGCTTCCGCTCTATGAAGCTCTGTGATTGGGCTGGATTAATGCTGGGACAAACCGGACTTGAAGAACAAGGGCAGTCTGCTGTGCTGCATGTCGGTCTGTACAGAGCATACAGGGCATGGCTGGAAGCATCTGTTGGAATGACTGTTACTTCTTCAGTCTCTAATCAGGAGCAGTGGAAAGCTAATTCTCTTGGACAAACTGCTGACCAGGCTGCGTGAGAGGGGTAACAGAGTCCTGATCTTCTCCCAGATGGTGAGAATGCTGGACATCTTGGCAGAATACTTGGCTATCAAGCACTACCCTTTCCAGGTGAGGAGGGTTAGTGGTAAGCACACACTCAGGGTTAACGCGGAAGTTCAAATCGGGGAGCACTGAGGGGACGTAAGCGATTTAAGTGCTCAGCCTCCCTGAGGCTGGTAGCTCCAACTACATAAGGCTCTAAAGCAAAGTGCACTTGATGATAACTGGGAAGCTTCCCTGTATTCCTGCTCCTCTAAGTGCTGATCAAGCCAAGAGAATGAGAGAGGTGCATTTGTGAGGTGAACATCTATGGAAGGGGAGAATTCGGCGTGTGGGTATTGATCCTTAAAGCGCTGTGTGGTTTGGGTTCTGGCTATCAGAGAGATGGCTCTTGCTCCAGGCACTGTCTTCTGAGCAGAGGCACTTTTGCTAAAAGTCCCGAGGTGTGAACATCTCTGAGTCTGATAGTAGAGAGCTCTCGGCTTTGGAGCTGGCTTCCCTTGTTGGTGTGACAAAGCCCTTCAGGCTAGGCCGTAAAGCCTGTGTGTTCTGACTGAGGTGGGCTGTGAACGCCCTATCAGCGTAGCTTTGATATCAGCTCCGTTTCTTTCTGGCTGAGGCTGGCTCGCCAGCCCACCCACGCCTTGTTTTTATAGAATTGTACGTGCGCCTGGCGGTTGCTACAAGGGGCACGCTTTAAACACGCGAAAGCACAATAAATAAAGCCCTGTCTTTTGCAAAAAACCTTTCCTCCTCTAGGCATCTGCATCAGCCTTGATCCTTTGCTAAGCTCCAGAGAGGACTGTAAATGCAGAGATCCTGGCTGGGAGCCTGTAATGAGAGCTGAAGTGTCACCCACCGTGTGACTGCTGCCTAAGCATACTCCCCGCCTCCCTCCCCCTCGGCGCAGCAGGTTAAAGCAGTGCAGTTATTTTTAATCAGCAGTTATTTTTAATGATTAAATGCTCCAAGCTGAAGGGTATGTAGGACAGGAGACTGGAGCTCCCAGAGTTTTGGGGCAGCAATTCCTCAGGGTTCCTTTACTTTCTTTCTTTCTATCATTATTGTTGATCTTTCCAGCGCTTGGACGGCTCGATCAAAGGGGAGATCCGAAAGCAAGCGCTGGATCACTTCAACGCGGAAGGCTCTGAGGTACGACAGCTGTGGGGGCATGGGGGTTCCTGCTGGAGGGAAAATAGCTTCAGAAGGGAATGGGATGGGACGCTCGAGCTTGTGCGAGTTTGCAGCGCGGCCACAGCTGCCATTCGTCCCCACGGAGCTCTGGCTGTGTCTAGAGACATGGCAGTGGCATGTTTTGTATCCTGTGGCCATCTGTGTCGTGTGTGAAATGCCCCAATGCTTTACAAAGGGTGGGGCCTGAAAATCAGACCCAGAAAGAATCTGCCAAGAATTGAATCCCCTTAGACGTTCCCCTCCTTGGACCTGGGAGTGAAGCGGTCACGCGATGACTTGCACAGGCTGGAGCGTGAGGTTGTCTCTGCACTTGAAGTGTCAGAGGAAAGGGCTGCTGGAAGTGGAGGCAGGCAGTGGTGTCTGGGACCAAAGGGCTTACAGCCTTGTAATCCCTCCCATCTGGGCCTACTCGCTGGCTCACTCTTACCAGGCGTGAGCCGCTTGATTGCTTTGTGCTTCAGGCAGTCCAGCCGTCTGAAAAAACGTGAGTTTGCTTGGAATACCAGAGCTGACTGAGCAGATAGTAAAGAACAAAAGGAGACAAGGCCAGGTGCCTGGTGTTAGCAGGAAGCTTAGGGGAAAATAGGACTGAAAAAAAGAGACTGCAATGCAGACAGGCGAGCAAGGGAGCTGGCACTGTGGGGGAGGAAAGGGATTCTCAGGGAGATGGACCCTAGAGAGGACTGCCTGAGCAAGGAGGGCCTGGCCCTGTCATTTCAGCAGCCTGGCCTTGTCCTGCCGCCCAGGCAGTGAGTCGCAGAGTCCATGGCAGGCTTCGGTTTGTGTGGGGCCGATCACCCCGTAGAAGTGCCAGTGACATACACACGTGTTTGCCTGCTGCTGTCGTGAGGGTCCAGTACACACCATAGTTTGACCTACAGAAGCTACAAGCCCAAGGTGCCCTTTCTTCCAAAGCCATTTCTGCGTTCTGCTGCCCAGAGCGGCACCTGCTGGGCTGATCTTGGAGCAGCGCCTGCCCCTTCAGTGTCCTAACGTCTCTGTCACTAGCTGCAACTCACATTACATGTGCTGTCTGCCAGCTACGCCTTCCTCTGCCTGGGAGATGCTGATGGCTGCCACGTGCCCCCGCCCATCGCACTCTGATACCCATCAGTATCCCCCAAGATTACTAATACGAGGACTGCTTAAATCGATGGAGTGGGGATTTCTTCTTTCTGTTGCATCTCTTTCCACTTCTCTCGCTATGCCGCTCAAATACCAGAGTTCTCTGTCTTCTGCTTTTCTTTTCCATCTCTCTACAAAAGAGGAAAATCCTTCTCACACACTGCCCTTGCTCTGAGCACCTCATTATCCCAAACTGTCTTCAAACTCTGTCTCTTTTATCTGTCCTGTGACGACTCCGAACTTCCTCTATCTCTAATAAACCCCCACTCCCAGACCCTCTCCATTCTCCCTAAACTTTGCATTCAGTTGCACCTTCCTCTCCCTTGACCTGGCCACACATACAGATGGGCCCTGTAGGATATATTGTAACCTGCATTAGTTCACTGGCTTTTGCACGTGTTTGTTTTTAAGCAGCTGAGATCATTTTGTGTGAGCAATGCTGTACACAGGTATCTTGTCTCTGTATGCAGGACTTCTGTTTCCTGCTGTCAACACGAGCTGGCGGACTGGGGATTAACCTGGCTTCTGCAGACACTGTGGTGATCTTTGACTCGGACTGGAACCCCCAGAATGACTTGCAGGCTCAGGCTCGGGCTCACAGAATTGGACAGAAGAAACAGGTCAGGAGAGCAGCCTTGGATCCATTTTTCTGTGATTCAGTCCAGTCATATGCTGTAGCATTAGCATCTGTGTCAGGACTCTGCAGAGCTGGGCATGTCCGGCTTATGTGGGCTCTGCAAATGTATTCCTTCTGCTTGAACTATATGATCCTTCAGGTTCCCCAGAAACTCAGGGTAAGCTGGAAAACTGCAATGCAAAACCAGATCAGCCCAAGTTTGCTGGAAACAGGGCCTGGATTCTCTAAGTAGGCTCATGAATCTGGGTTGGGTATTGCGTTAATCACGAAACAAAGCAAATTTCACATGGGTCTTAGTTTCATAACTAAAATTGCACACAACTCTGGCATCAGGCATTGGCGTCAAGCAGGGGACATCGTCAAGGCTGGGAGGCCTAAAAGCTTATCGATAGAGCCAGTATGAGGCTTAGAGAGAGCAGGCATGTGTTCCATCTGTAGTTTTATTGTGAGTCTGTTGTGTTTCTTTGTTTATATATATATATATATAAACACGTACACACACAAACATACACACACACTGCTCTATCTCAAACTCTGGTTATGGGCTTGATGCAGGAATCACTGGCTGAGGTTTTCTGGCTTGTGTTATGTAGGTGATGAGACTTAGATGATCATAAAGGGCATTTCTGGCCTTAAAATCTACGAACAATATTTTTCTGAGGTGTCACTGAACCTCTGATCTAGAAAGCAGGCTGGAGATCTGGCAAGAGCAGCCTTTCTTGTGAGTTTGGTGGGGCTGGAAGTCTCTTGAGAATAGCTGTTCCCACGGGGTAGTGTGTTGGATTAGGGGTTCAGGTATACCATTCAGAATATATGTTTGCAAGAAGGGACCATGCAGACAGGTTATTGCTACCTTCTGTTAACTAGCACAGGGTGCATTGTAATTTAGGCAGGACTATATGTTGCAGATCCACAAAATAGCTCTGCTTTTTCTTTGCCCTGCAGGTGAACATTTACCGCTTAGTCACAAAGGGGACAGTGGAAGAGGAGATCATCGAAAGGGCCAAGAAAAAGATGGTGTTGGATCATCTGGTGATCCAGCGTATGGACACCACAGGCCGTACTGTACTGGATAACAATTCTGGGAGATCCAAGTAAGTGCCTAAGTGGGGAAGAGAGCATCAGATGGAGTATGTACAGTAATCAGTGTCACTCTCGTGGTGACTTGGGTAATTAGTTGATAGTGTAGTTGGCCAGCAAAAAAAACAACAACTAATGGTAGCTCACCACTAACTTTGGCTCATGCAGTCATTGGTATGGAAACTATATGGGATGCCAAAATTAGCAAGAAAATAAAAAAGAACTGGTATTGAAGTCTCCTCTGTTTTTCATTCCATCTTTCTCTCTTTTTTTCTTTTCTTTCCCTCTCTGTTTGTTTTTGTGCTTCTGTTTATTACCCCTCTCGCCTACCGTGGTCTTTGGCCTGTTTTTCCGCCTTTTAGAGGCTGTCACTTTTTTCTTACAAGGCCCCCAAGGTCACTGATATCTGAAGAAGTTGACAGTAGGTTATAAGTGTCCCACGCAATTGGTCTCTTTTTCATGCTGGCTCTACAGCTGTAACCAACTAGGATCAGTTGGAGTCTTTTCCTGGCTCATCTAAACATCTGTTTAATATTGTGCTCTGCGGTCTCTTCCGCTCTGCAGCTGGTGCTGTAGGGAGAAAATGGCCATGGGGACCATTTGGTTCTAGTCAACTTCTGCAGTTCCTGGTGCCTCAGGCGAAAGACCATATAGCTGGAAGCGTGTAGAAGGAAGGGTCATTTCACATGCAGGTTTCAGGAAGAATAGAGGGAGTCTGCTGGGTTTTGCAGCTGGGTCTCCCCACTTTACTCCTGCAATGCAGTAGTAAGTGCTTTGTGATACCAATGCAATAAAGGTATGAGAACCCAGAACTGACTCAGATGCATATGCAAGGCTGGAAAGATTCTGGGTTTTGTGTGTTAGTATTAAAACTTCGTAGTGAATTTTACTCGGCAAGTGTGTCTTTCCCTGTGTCGCTCCCCCCCAACGCCTTTCCAGAGGCTTCCCTTGTGGTGTGATTAAAGCTCTCAAGAGTTCCTCCATTCTTCCCCACTTCATCCCCCTTGATATACTCCTGAGGCCACACATCAAGCTAGCCATCCTTCTAGGACATGGGAATCCCTTCCTTGGAGCCCATCAACTCTGCTGCTTAATTGGCCATGTGGCTCGGTATTGAGTTACTGGGTGTGCTGCCCTCCTTTCCCTGGGAATGGAGCACGCTGCCTTGACAGCGCTCCTAACCCCTGACAGAACAGGGGGAGAGGTCAGGAACAGAGCGCAAGGCGTTTCTTAGTGCGGGGTTGAGCACTTACATCACAATGTTGGCCTAATGAGGGAGGCTTAGGTGTGTCTTTATACCGTAGCAAAGCAGCTGTGAAACAGCAGGGCTGGCTTGGTGGCTCCTGAAAGTCAACTGTGTCTTCGTTACTTTTTTGCAGCTCAAATCCTTTCAACAAAGAGGAGCTGACAGCTATTCTGAAGTTTGGAGCTGAGGATCTCTTCAAGGAGATTGAAGGGGAAGAATCGGAGCCACAGGTAGTTAAAATTAAAATAACCTAGCTGTGATCTGATGGTCTTCATGAACTTCACTTCATTGCAGTACTGCATGGGGAAACTGGCATTTGTCCTGACTCTGTTGTACTTGCTCTGTGGATCAGAGAGAGCAGTTCAGTTAATAGTGTTTGTCAAACTGACCCTTGCCATGGGACACCAAGTTCAAGTTTCCAGAAAAGCTGAAGGGAGAGAACAATGGACTTGGGAGGCAGGGATGGGACAGACTGACTGTGGAGATTCTGATCAGGTTCCTGAAAGAAATGGTTGGGGTTTCAGTGGTAGAACCTTGTCCCCCGTCAGCCCTCTGCACATACATCTGTAGCTCTGTGAATAATGAGTTAGTGTATTGTAACAGAGCCTAGCAAGTCCTCTTCATCCCAGCGCCTCTTAGCCCCTTTTAGCTTTCCTCTCCTTTGTAGTTTCCACAGGAGTCAGAGTGTGTCACCTCTTACCCATCCAGTGCAGGATTGTTTCTGACATTATGTTACCGAATGCTTTGAACAGCCCTGTTAATGGGGCCATGCAGTGGCCCACAGCCATGTCCCTGCAGGGAATGATTCCACAAATGAAAAGATAGCAGTTGGGAGTTTTTTCCTGATGTTCAGGCTGTTGTTTTCTCAGCCTCACCCATCATTCCTCTTCATACCCTCTTGTACCAGCTAAATAGTCTGTCGTCCTCCTCAGTGATGACACTTCATCAGTATATGCAGCCCGTCAACTTGTCTCCCCCACCTCCCCTTGTTCACTTATCCAAGCGATGTGTATTTAGCAGTCACACCTCACAAGTCAATCCTTGAAGCCCCCCCTTCCTTTCTGTTGTTGTGCGTCCTCTGATTGTATCATAATTTCTTTCTGACTGGCAGGAAATGGATATTGATGAGATTTTACGCTTGGCTGAAACACGAGAGAACGAAGTGTCCTCGAGCGCCACGGATGAGCTGCTGTCTCAATTCAAGGTACAAAGCAGATAGATTTCCTAGGAACCAGTGAGTAAGAGGGACTGAATTCCAGCAGAGTAGGGTCGTGAGTGGCTATGAACGGTCTTTGCCAAGGTCAACCTCGTTTGTAAGGTCGGTGACAGGAGAAGGGACAGAACTGGCCAACAGTGCCCCTGCATGCTGTCTTCATGGGGTCAGGCTTTAGCCAAACAAGCCAAACCCTTTGCAAGGTGCATGGAAGCAGGTGGTCCTCAACCAGCAGGAGAGGGGTTGTTAGGTTTGGTGGGTGGGTAGCACTAAATGTGTGTGTATAGGTTTTTAAATGATCTTGGTGGTGGGGAAGAAAATCTTAAACTTCCTAACTTTGGGAACTGAAATGCTAATCTAGCAAAGGCTCCAGCCAAAGTTTATAAATTGCATGCACTACTCGATGGCTGATAGCTGGAAGAGATGACAGACAACAGGAACAGAATGACTAACGGACAGATTTCTTGGGGAAATGCCTCAAGAGAAAGAAGTTGAGACTGGACCCCAACGTCTCTCTGGTGACGTTATCACGGGGAGCTTCTAATCCCATGGGTGTGCTTTTGCTTCTAAGGTAGCCAATTTTGCAACCATGGAGGAGGAAGAGACTGAGCTGGATGAGAGGTCCCAGAGGGACTGGGATGATATTATTCCTGAAGAGCAAAGGAAGAAAGTGGAGGAGGAGGAACGACAGAAGGAATTGGAAGAAATCTATATGCTGCCCAGAATTCGCAGCTCCACTAAAAAGGTACAGCACTGCCTCGGGAAGCTGGGAAGCAACAGGCCACAGGAGGCTAGTGGTGGGAAAGAGGGTCTTTGCCTAGTAACAATTTTGTGGGATTTTGACGTTTTCCCCCCTATTGCTAGTTTGGAACAAAGTACAGAATAGGCCATAAGTCTGCCATGCAGAGTACGAATTAGGCCCCGAGTCTATAGTGCAGGATATGTGTCCAGGATGAATTTGGTAGTGGTGTTTCTAATTCTACTTGTGCTTTATTTAAAAACAATAAATGCTGAAACCCAGTGGCAGGAACAGATTGAAGCACAGGGGAAAATAGCCAATTGAGTGGTGGGGACTAGACTGGAGTTCATTTTTGATTGCCTCGTAGGTCATTTCGTGGATCTTTTTTTTCCTATCTCCTCACTAAGCTTCACACTTCACCATGCTGTTAATGCTTAAACCTAACCTGTCCTTTCACAACCAGAAGAGACAGTACCCTTTCCAGCTTTACTGTCTAGGTCGGGGTGGCCAAACAGTGGCTCGTGAGCCACATGTGGCTCTATTACAGTTAGTGTGGCTTGCGGAGCCCCCATGCTCCCCCTTCTCCACCTACCAGACTGGGGGAAGGGGAGAACTCAGGACCTCTGCCTTGCAGCAGGGTGGTGGGATAGGGGCTTCTGACCAGTGAAGAAGGGGGTCTCGGGACTTCAGTCCCGTGGGGCAGAAGTCTCGAGCTCTAGCAGTCGAATTTCTGAAGATTGTGGTATGCGGCTCGAAGGGTCAGTAAGCTTGGCCACCCCGGTCTAGGTGCTATGATGCATTCAAATCCTCTAGCATTAGGGCTGTGCAAGAAAACTCCACTAGCACATGGAACCCATGCTTTATTCGTACATGCTCCTGTCTGGAAATCTGTCAAAAGAGGATGAGCAAATACATTGGGGCCTTGGGCATCCAGGCACTTCAAGGGGGGGGGAAAGGGAGGTTCCTCTAAGAGGGGATGACACCGATGTTGATCTGATTGGCCTTACTTCAGAAAAAGCACCGAGAGGTTCTGCATTTGCATTGCCAGCCCACGCCACTAGGGAGGAATTGAAGGAGGTTGCAAATTAGCCCTTGTTACCCTAGTGCTGTCCTTCTGGCTCGTTCAGGCTCAGGCAAATGACAGTGATTCTGATGCTGAATCCAAGAGAAGGATACACAGGTCATCTGGATCAGAGAGTGAGACGGACGATACTGACGACGATAAAAGGCCGAAGCGCCGGGGGCGCCCACGGAGTGTTAGGAAAGACACGGTGGAAGGATTTACTGATGCTGAAATCAGGAGGTCAGTGCTGAGCCCAGGAGACTGTTAGAGGAGCACGTTCGGAAATTCTGCGCAGACACCGACACAGCTAGGGTAGGGCCCTGCTCCAGCAAAGCATGTCAGCACCTGCATAACTGTGAGCCCGTAGCTGGTCCCAGTGAGGTCAGGTCAGATAGAATGTTTACATCAGAGGTGGGCAAAGTACGGCCTGTGGGCCCGTCCTGCCCAGCCCTTGAGCTCCTGATCAGGGAGGCTAACCCCGGCCCCTCCCCCACTATCCCCCTCCCCTGCAGCTACGCTGCCGCGCGGGCAGCACTCTGGGTGGCGGGGCTGCGCACTCCTGCAGGGCAGTGCAGCAGCATGTCTGGCTCCAGCCAGGCGGCCCGGCTGCCAGACATGCTGCATTGAGCAGCAAGGTAAGGGAGCGGCGGGTTGGATTAAGAGGCAGGAGGGCAGTCAGGGGATGGAGCAGGGGGCGGTTGGATGGGGTGGAGGTTCTTGGGGAGGGGAACGGAGGGTTGGATAAGTGTGGGAGTCCGGGGGGGGAGGGGGGAGTGTGGATAGGGGTCGGGGCAGTCAGGGAGCAGGGGGGGTTGGATAGGGGGTGGGGTCCGGGGGGTTGGATAAGGGGCGAGGGGTCCCAGGAGGGGGCGGTCAGGGGACAAGGAGCAGGGGGGCTTGGATGGGTCGGGTGTTCTGAGAGGGGCAGTCAGGGGGCGGGAAGTGGGAGGGGGTGGTTGGGGCAGGGGCCAGGCTGTTGGGGGAGGCACAGCCTTCCCTACCTGGCCCTCCATACAGTTTTGCAACCCCGATGTGGCCCTTGGGCCAAAAAGTTTGTCCCCCCCTGGTTTACATGATTAAAGTTAAGCAAGTGAAGAAGTGCTCTGCTGGACTGGGGCTATTGGCTCCCCAAAACCTCCATTTCTTGGGGATCTTCCATGCTCATGTTGTTGTGCCATGGACATTTAATCAGTTCTAAATGACAATGGCAGGACTCCTGGTGCTTTATTAACTTAGTGTTGTAACAGAAGAATTAGGGGTGAAATCAGGCTTTACTGGCTCCAGCCATTCTCTGAACTTGTATATTATCAGCTTTGCCACCTGCCAATGGCCTTTCTAGGCCTGTGTGAAACGAGCTGACGATCTTTAGTCTGGTTCTCGTGAGACAAGTGCCTGTGTTTCACAAAAATTGCTCCTGAAATCGTCAGCCTCCATCAGTAATCTCAGATGGACTGAGTGGGTCCATTGAATTCAGCATTAAGGTACATTGCTAAGGGGTGTGCTGGAGGCCGGAATGGCATGGAGAAACCAAGGACTCCTGTCTTTGTGCTGTTCCACTGGCTTCGTTCAGGAGCACCAAATTCACCTGAAAGAAGAAAAGTTTCCTGGCCGTTTAAATTTAAACAAAAGCAAATGTTGATATATTTGGGCAAAAATAGTAGCCCTAAAAGAGTTGGTGCCATAAGTCAGGGTAGTGAAATTTCCCCTTCCGCCAGCATTACGTTTCTCAGCTCAGCTGACGCGTGCAATTCCAAGCCAGTTTTTGTCCTTGCCTTCTCCAAGATAGAACTTCCCCTAATCTCTTCAGTCTTCGCAAAGCGCCTGCATCCTAAGGCTGTGTCCCGAGGTTAGGCCAGAGATGGTAAAGGGGATTTCTTGAGCTTTAACCAACTTCCCTTCATCTTTGAGTTGCTGGTTTTTAAACTGAACCTCCATCAGTAATTTACTAAAATTATGACTCCCCCCGTTTCCCCCCACCACTTTTTTTTTGCAATGACAGGTGCCCAGGGTTAAGAGTCATCCTCTGTCCTTCTCCAGTTCCTTCTAGCCAAGGAGCTCAAAGCTCTTTGCAAACACTAATGAATTAAAACTCACAACAGCCCTGGGAGCGACTTAGACCTTGGACATGAAATACTGGATTGACAAAGGGGACGAGCTAATTAAATGTATCACCATGTATTTAAATACAGCTGTAATTTAGGACCTTTTTTACTGAGATTGTTTTGCTTTTCTTTTTTGCTTAGGTTTATCAAGGCTTATAAGAAGTTTGGGCTTCCACTCGAACGGTATGTGCAAACTGGCTCTGATCCTGAGAACAATCGCATATAGGCTTGTTGCTGCACTAGTAAACAGGAGACACAAATAGCCACATGAAGATCTCTGTGCATTGCTCTACCCCTAGGCACAATTAACTGATAGGCATCAAGTATGGCATAGGCTTCTTCGATGGGCAAAGCCTGACTGGTCTGTCATATTCAGGGTGAACGGTGTGCAAGTGCTGCCATTGGAGACACAGGAATTGCCAGGTGGTCCATCTTGTCTCAGATGATTGCCACTGGTGGATGTTTCAGATGAAGGCCCCCTCTTCCCCTCCTCCCCCGCGCATGCCTAGTGCATTACGCAACACTTCAGGAGCAGGGTACACATGTGTCATCTTCTGCAAAGCACCCCTGTCCCAGACTAGTCCCCTGTTATGTGATCACCTGCTTCTTGCGGTATCCTGCAACTCTCAGGTACCAAAGCTTAATATGGGTCTTGCTCCATGTGGTCTTAAAACCATTATTTACCTGGCAAGAAAAGGATCAGCAACCTGAGGAGTCCCAATAAAAGAGATCAGCTCAGAGGCGTAGATATGTTGGTTCTCCTAGGTAGCGGGGAGCTGAAGTTAACACACACACAAAAATCCCAGTTCCTTAAAAAAAGTATTTCCATGCCCAGCAGTGCAAATGCTATTGAAAGTGAGATGCTTGATCTGGGAAGCGTCAGACACCTGAAAGAAGCAGACCGGCTAGGCCCTGTGTCTCTGAGCCGCGCTATCAGCCAGGTGTTGAGTCTGATTCTTTCCCGATTCTTTTTTCCCTCTCAGGCTGGAGTGCATTGCTCGCGATGCTGAGCTGGTGGACAAGTCCATAGCTGATCTGAAACGTCTAGGGGAACTTATTCACAACAGCTGTGTGTCGGCAATGCAGGAATACGAGGAGCAGCTGAAAGAAAACCCCGGTGAGGGTAAGTGAAAGGGACGGGCGCAGATTTCATTAACCTCTTGGTGTTGATGGGCCAAAGTGCTGATGGGAACCATCCCCATTCTGGGTGAGATGGGACACCAGTTTGGCAGCACTGGAGGCTGTAGTCTGTTAGCTAAAGAACAGTACAAACTTCACCCATGCTGCCTCTGCTAGTGACCTGGAGGGAGCTACCTCTAAGAGTGAGAAAGCTATTCCAGCCTCCAAGCCGTGAGTCTTCTGCTCTGACTGAAGGATGTCAGTTGGAACTGTTAGCGTCTGGTGGACATGGGATTTCTAAGGCATGGGCTATGACCACCAACTCGTTTCATGTTAGGTTGTGGAGCAGCCAGCAGACTGGATTGCTTCCTGGGTTGGAATCAAACCAATAACATGTACCCTGCACTATTCCTGTACCTGCAGTTATTGGTCCTCTGAGCCAGCCAGTGCCCCCATAGCACTGGGTAAATACCCTGCACGTAATTCCAAGACTTGAGGAACATCGAGCCCTGTGTGTTGCCTCTGCATCTCTGGCTTTCTAGGAAGCAGGGTGGTTTGGTGGCTGGCACAGGAGACAGGGAATCTGGAGACGTGGGTGTTATTGCCAACTCTGCCATTAAGTCTCTGCGTGATCTGGGCTGAACTCAGCTGCTAAAGTGGCTGAACTCCAATGTTGTTGATTTATTTGTAATTAAGAAAATGACTTGGGAAGGGGCTTGGAGTGTAACGAATCACTCACTACCTACCGCTCTTTGAAAGCAGAGCCTACTTTTCAGAATCTGTCTGAGCATTAGCAGCCAGCCCTAGATGTAAACAGAGGATGGTGGGAGGAATATAAAGCTCTTGAATGTATCTGAGCCTTTTCCAGCGTCTCTTTCATTCTGTCAAAGTGCTTGCAGCTGAAATGTTTGTTGCTGTTGAACAGGGAAAGGGCCTGGGAAAAGGAGGGGTCCTACCCTCAAGATCTCTGGTGTCCAAGTCAACGTGAAATCCATCATCCAGCATGAAGAAGAGTTTGAAATGCTGCACAAATCCATTCCCACGGACCCGGAGGAGAAGAGGAAGTGAGTTGGCATGACTAGGAGGAAAGTGCAAGGCGCTTGGGGTTTTGGGCTGGCAAAAGGAAAGCCTGGGTTTGCAGATTTGCTTTGACACCACAGTGTTGGGAAGAAGCCCCTCACCACCTCTCTCGTGTTTGAAATGCCTTCAGATACTGCCTGACCTGCCGCGCCAAAGCTGCTCATTTTGATGTAGACTGGGGAGTGGAGGATGATTCTCGTTTATTGCTGGGAATTTATGAACATGGCTATGGAAACTGGGAGCTAATTAAAACGGACCCAGAACTGAAGTTAACTGATAAGGTAGGTCGTCATGTGTTGCTCACTTTAGTTTCGGGGCTCAGGGAGAACATTTGCTTCCTCAAAAACGGATGTTTATATTGGTACACACTTAAAACAATAATAACAGCCAGGAAAACAATGACCGTGACCTCTCTGGAATGCTGCATTCCCAATGTATTGAGGCTGGTTGTGTTAGGTTTCCCCCATGGTTAATGCTGAGCTCAGACAATGTCACTGCTGACAGACCCAGATGTTGTTAGCAAAAATCAGGTCGTGTCCTGGTATGAATGAGCGCCCTCAGGTGTGATGCTCAGAATAGCATTTTAAAACTGAAACGAGCATCCCAGACACAGTCGTGGGAATCTCTTCCTTGCGGTGGTGGTACAGAGGAGCCCCTCTAATTCTCCCTTTGCTAACGCACTGCGCTGATGATTCTTACCCCGAAGACAGCAGCTTCACCTCACTTCATAACACGAATGCCCTGGCTGAGTATTTGCTGTATGTAAATTACAGTCAGACCAGTTAGTTGTTTAAAGAAAACAGCGATAACGAGCGGTGCTCCATTTTTATGTTTATAAAGGCACAAACCAGTGAAATCAACTTTACAGAAATAGCTTTTTTCTCAAGTTACTGATGATTCATTACTTTTACCAAATATGCTACGCAGTACTAGCCTACTGTAAAACGATATCATAAATAAATTCGGCTTGTCAAAACAAGGGAGCAAAGTGTCTGTTGCAACACAGGCTTCTTGATGTATTTTGCAGTGTGTTTGCTTGCTCACTGGAGAAGTTCTTCTGTAATCCGAGCTAGCAGCAATCGAAGTTCCTACCCGTCTGTGCTCACACATGTCCTGTCACTTCAATACCAGCATGGGGGTGCTCCCTCCCCCCACACTTGAATTGGTAGAATTCTGCATGCTGCCTTATGAAAGGAGAAGACTTTTGAGGGAGCTCTTTGGCCTAGATCCTCGTATGGATTTAGGCACCTAACTCCCATTGAAATTAATGGGAGTTAGCCACCTAAATATCTTTGAGGATCTGGGATTTTGTGCCTGGGAGAGCAGGGTAAGGCAGTTCCCCTGAGAAGCTGAGGAGGTTTCCTCACTCCCTTGCTGGACGCTAGGGGAGGAGATTGTTACTAGTGCTTGTCTGCTCACTTCACGGCTTGATAGGTGCATGTGGATGTTTTGTTTTTATCAAAGATCCTACCTGTTGAGACAGATAAGAAGCCTCAGGGAAAGCAGCTCCAGACCCGTGTCGATTATCTGCTGAAATTGCTGAAGAAAGATCTGGAGAAGAAGGAAACTGTGAAAGATGGGGAAGAGGTGAGTGAGGGGATGGCTGAGGGCCCCTAGGGGGGACATTGGACACTGCTTAGAAGGAAACTACCTCCTGCATTTCTAGCTCATTAAATATTCTGTTTGAACGGACTGTGGCTGTATTGTAGTCTGATCCCTTCATTCCATTGAACCTAGAGCTGGTGGGGCTTGGCTCTCAGATCCTAGGGCCAGGCTAACTTGGCAGGTCTGTCACTTAGAAAAGGGCATCTTTTTACCTGTAAGCTGAGTGTGCTTGATGTGTGTGACACTGAGCATCATACGTAGGATGATTCTCATTTTACCAAGTCACTTGTCAGAAGCAGAAGTGAACTCTAAAGCGATGTGCACAGATTTTATGAAAAATTATGGCTTACGTAGGGTTGGATGCTGAATGCCCCAACTAGCAAGGAGCGTTGGAGCTGTGCCTGCAAGACCTGTCTTGGACTGTGTTCCTGTCATCTAAATAAACCTTCTACTTTACTGGCTGGCTGAGAGTCATGGTGAATCGCAGGAAGCCGGGGGTGCCGGGCCTTGTGTCCCCCCACACTCCGTGACAAGGTGTCACATTAAATACCCTCTGGCAGCAGGCACCAGCTCTCCTTCATTTGCCCTGTCACCAGGCTGCTTGGTGCCAGCAATTCACTCGTACTAATTTTCTGTGTGTTCAGAATAGTCCTTTGAGCCTACAAACCTCAGATGGATTTCCTCTTGCTAGCCAAAATGGGACCCTCTGATGGAGGTTGTAATTCTAATTAGTGGCTCAGTGTCATTTCCCATGGCCCATTAGATCTTCTAGTGCTCCAAACGGACTCCTACTGCCTAGAGGAAGAGAGATGGTATTTCTGTTTCCGAAGAAGTGGGCTGTAGTCCACGAAAGCTTATGCTCTAATAAATTTGTTAGTCTCTAAGGTGCCACAAGTACTCCTGTTCTTCTTTTTGCGGATACAGACTAACACGGCTGTTACTCTGAAACTGTTTCAGGAAGTGGTTTTCAAGCCCTAACTGGTTTTTCTTCTTCCCCAGACCAAACTGAAGAAGAGGAAACCACGCGTGAAGAAAGAGAACAAAGCTCCCAAAGTCAAAGATGAGCATGGAAATGACCTGTCCTCTCCTCGACACTCGGACAACCAGTCAGAAGAGGGTGAAGTCAAGGTGTGTTGACCGAGGTGGAGGGGGCTTTTACAAAGCTGCTTGAACTGTGTTGGTGCTTCAGAAACTACACTTGAAAAGCACCTGTTGCAACTTCCCCAAACAACCACTAGGGGAGCTGCAGAGCATTAAACTGAAATAGGGGCCTGGCTGAGTTGCATGGGAACATAGGAGGTGGTGAGGCCTTCTCCACCCACCTCATTAAGCCAATGTTCAGAGCATTGTGGATGGGCTCCAAAATGGGCCACTTTCAGCCTTTGTTAGCTTGGAGACTGTCCTCCTCAGAAAACCTGCCATTGGTGAAGCCAGAGTTTACCAAGATAATTTTGGTCTGGGAAAAACCCTCTCTTTGAGTAGCTCTGCACATAATTTAAAGGTTTCTTAATGCTCCTGATCGATATCTACCTTGAAGAGATGAGCCTACTGACTAGCTAAATTAAATTAAGGAGTGTTCTATGTAGCTGCAGTTTGCTAGTCAGCTGCAGAATGATGCCGGTTTGATGGAATAACCTTAGAGGCAGGGTTTGTGGGGGTTGGGCAGATCGCTGCTTTGGACTTGCTTAGGTTAATCAGAGCAAGGAAAAGTTTGAATGAGCAGCAAGAATCAGGTGCTCTTGCAGGACATAGGTTTATAGAGTAAAATGTGTCTGAGGTGAGGGGCTCTGACTTTGTGAACGACGTTTGAGTCTGTGACTAATTTCCTAGGAGGATGGCTTGGAAAAGAGCCCAGTGAAAAAGAAACAGAAGAAGAAAGAGAACAAAGAGAACAAGGAAAAACAGTCAACCACAAAGAAAGAAAAGGAAGGCGATAAAGAGAAAAAGAAAACAAAGGATAAGAAAGAGAAGGTACCAGGCATATCTTACATGTAACCTTTAGAAACATGTTACAAGCTGGAGATCCCATTCAGGATTTCAGATTCAAATCCTGCACATGCCAATACCTATCAAGGAGAGCAGTTTGAGAGGGCAATGAAGTCCCTCCAGGGAATATTCGCAGAGATGGACACACTATGAGATTAGACATTCCTAAAGACCCCATGGGAAAGAATGCTAGGGCATCCTTTACTAGTGAGCATTGGGGAGGGCTCTTTGCCTCAGCCTCCAGAACTTTTTGGAGTGAGCATTTACCCTGAATAGGAGAGAAAAGATACCTGCAGTGAAGAATGGAAAAGGTGACCTATTCTGTGGGTTGGGAACTAAGTATAGAGTGTGAAAGGGAGTGAGCTATTTTCAGACTGACTTGAAAAGACCGCTATCCCCAAACAGAAGAGTATCCCAGAATGGCCGGCATCAAGAAAAGGAGAGAAAAGAGTTTGGAGCTTATTGTTCAAAGGGTGTAAGGCTTTAATTAGTCTTGGTGTTGGCAGGCTGTGTCTGGATTGCTCTGGACTTCAAATCTATCCATAATAACCCAACCTACACAGGGGCCGTGAAATAATATCTTGGCTGTTCCCATGTTGGCAGGGATTGATTCTGTCAGCACAGGTGTCAGGCTAGGTGGGAAACGTAACTTAGTTGCCCCTTGGCTGCCATGGGCTGGATTCAGACTAGGCATAGGTGAAAGGCTCCATAGTAATGACTTGGGGTACTTGCGGTATATACCAAATGCTAGCGTATTATGTCCTAAATCAAAGCTGAGACCTTATTTCAAATCTAGGGGAAGTCCCCTTCCCAGTGAAATGCGGCGTGGCCTTCAGCTGCTAATAGGAAGAAGGGAGAAATGATCGTTTCTGAGGCTGAAGCTCGGGATCAGTTGCTTTGAGACTTTGGGTCTGTTGACAGCTCTTGCACCGATTTCCTGGGCAAGCTTGGGCAGCTCAACATTTTCACTAGCAGTCAGCGATTTGGGGTGCCCAACCGAAGAGCTGTTGGGCTTGATTTCCAGAGGCTCTGAGCATGGGCAGTTCCCACTGACTTATAGTGGAATTTCAGGCCCTTCTAAATATCAGGCCATGTGGGGGGGTCTGCCCTTCCCAGAGGATATGCACCCACTGTGTGACCCTAATTCTCCAGTGCAGTCCCTCACAGGCAAGTTTAACCTCTCCCTGTGTACAGACCCCAAATCACTGGTGCCACTTCTGAAAACGTTGGCCCAGCAGTTTGTGCTCCAGTTTCCTCTCACAGGTGTGATGTGACTCTTCATTCATTCATGACTCTAAAGCACTTGAAGAGCTTTGGGAGGGAGATGCTGTAGAGGGGCATGCCATTTATTAATTCCCAATGGTAGTCATCACAGAGGATTTCACGGTGGGCCATGCAGAATCCCCAGGTTCGGCTCACTGTCAAAGGGTTGTGATTTTGTTCTTTTCAAGGCCAAAGGTAGCGAGACCAAGTCTGGAAGCAAAGGGAAGCGATCTCAGGGTCCTGTCCACATTACAGCAGGGAGTGAGCCCATCCCCATTGGAGAAGACGAGGATGATGACCTGGACCAGGAAACGTTCAGCATAGTGAGTATCTTCTTCTGGAGACAAGGGCACAACAGTGGGAGCTCTGGGGTTTCCTGGCACACTAACACCACTGTAAGTTATGAATATCTGCGGCTTCGTTTGCCTAAGTGCCCGGGTTTGAGCAGCACTAACTACCCTAACCTGGACCCCACTGCTAAGCAAGCAGCCTTTGGGGATTCTATAGACTCAGTACACTCCACTCCTGGAAGGAAAGGTGCACTTCACATTGCTTAACAGTGATCCCCTGCAGCTAATTTGAGAGCACTATGGACAAGTGGCAAAAGGAGTCCCAGCCAGGACTTCTCCTTGGCTGAAAGGATGTTGGCTCTGACGTGGGACCTCAAATGGGAGAAACATCAAGGCCTCCTTAGGGAGCCATCCTCCCGAAAACAAGCACAGTATTAAAAACAGGTTTGGAATATCTCCTCTCTAGATTCTGTGCCACTTAGTTGCACTGGTAATGCATGCTCTCATTTCATCTCTCTGTTGGGAACATGACAGAAGGGGGCATAGCAGAGGCAGTACAGCACCCTAATACACTGTAGCACCCTCTTATTTCAAACTAAAGCTTTCCGTTCCCACAGCTGGCTTGACCAGCATAGGCCAAATGTTGTGACCCTGTAGCAGTGTGTGGCAGACTCTTTCCCTCAGCAACCAAGGGATTAGCAGGTTATTCCTGGGCTGGAAGAATATTGAGGCCATCCTAGAGTAACTTTTGTATGGCCTGAAGATCCACAGTTGCTCACTGAGTTGTTGTAGTAAGTTCCACTGTAAGTGCTTTCCAAGCTGTGTAAATGAAAATGCAGCAATGTGCCGCCGGTGCAGACTGGTGAGCATGGCTGCAAACACAACACTTAATATAGTCTCTTATGCTGGACTCTCCTCTGCCTGGCTTGTGTATTTGAAGGGGGTGCTTTCAACTTGAAATCGAGTCAGTTTTTTAGAACAAGTAAAAAGAACAGGAGTACTTGTGGCACCTTAGAGACTAAAAAATTTATTTCAGCATAAGCTTTCATGGGCTACAGCCAACTTCTTCAGATGCATAGAATGGAACATATAGTAAGGAGATAGATATACATACAGAACATGAAAAGGTGGAAGTAGTTTCAGATACTGTATTTACTCTTGAGGCCCCTTGCTAATTTTTTTTTCCAGTCCCTTTTTATTTAAAAAATAAAAACAAAACGTTTCTTGGTTGTTCTCTGAAAGATTCACGCAAACAATGGGAAAGTGACTAAAAAGTACTGACCAAAAAGTACTCCTGAGGGCATTCTGCGCCAAATAATTAAAAATCCTGCACCAAAAAATTTAAAATTCTGTGCACAATATTTTAAAGTTCTGCAAATTTTATTTGTCAAATAAATGTGGAGACTCCAGCATGGGGAACACAGGCCACTGGCTGCACAGAGGTGGGAGATCACTGTGCAGCTCCCCCCTGGCAATTGGACTCAGCAGTGAGGCTACACCCAACCCTGACATAGCGCAAGGACCGGGCCTGCCCCAGAAACACCCCAGGGCCCTGCCCCTCCGTGCCAGGTGCACCAGGTATGGGCAGGCAGGCTGGCTCAGCAAGGCACGATCCAAGTGCGGAGGGGCTTAATGTGGAGGGATCCAGGTGTGGGTTGAGAGGGTTCTGTGTGGGACAATCTGGGTGCGGGTGGCTCAGTGGGGGATCCAGGTGTGGGTTGAGAGGGTTCTGTGTGGGACAATCTGGGTGCGGGTGGCTCAGTGGGGGATCCAGGTGTGGGGGGGATCTGGATGCACAGGGGCTTGTTGGGGGGTTCTGGGTGCAATGGTAATGGGACTCTGCTGGGGGGTCCAAGTGAAGGTGGTTGGAGCTCAGCAGGGTAGGGGGTGGGTCTGGGTGTGAGGGGATAGAGCTCAGTTGGGGGATTCAGTGGGGGGTCCAGATGCTGGGGGAGTGGGGCTCAGTGGGGTGGGGATCCAGGAGCAGCTGGTTGGGGCTTGGTGGGGTGGGGATCCAGGTGCAGATGGCTCATTGGGGTGGTCCAGGTGCAGGGGGAGTGGGGCTCGTCAGGGGGGTTCTGGGAGTGCGGGGCGGGAGGTTCAGCAGGAGGGTCTGGGTATGAGGGGGTCTGGATGCACGGGGGTTGGGCGGATGGGGGAGCAGCTCCCTGTACGGTGATCCCTCCCCCTGCAGCTGAGGAGCGATGGGTGCAGGAAGCACGGGGGGGCGGGGTGGAGTTTGCAGAGCTTCTTGCAGCCAGGAGAGAAATCTGGGGATGGGTTTGACCCAGCCCCGGATACCATGCAGGGGAAGAGGAAGTCCCATCCTCCCCAGCCCAGCCAGAACTAGCAGCTGAGCCAGGCGCAGGGTAGGAGCCACCAGCCGGGTCTTTCCCAATCCCGCCCTCTGCCCCACAGTGATTTACCTCTCTGCCGGCTGCCCTGGGCACCTGAAACATAGTGCTGGGGTGGGTCGTATGATCGCTCTTGTGGCTTCCCTTTGCTTCCCCGTCAGAAAGTCATTTTTCTGCAGGGAAACAAAGAAATGTGCAGAGAACATAAATTCTGCACATGAGCAGTGGTGCAGATTTCCCCCAGGAGTGAAAAATGAGAGGGTGAAACTGGCAATAGGCAAAGTGCTGTTGCGTACACAAATGATGGTTTCCTCTATTTCTTTCAGTTTTGTTAACAGCAGTAGTTAAAAAACCTTTTTATCTGTCAGTGTGATTTTTGATAGTGGTCCTGAACCTATGTATTTTATCTTTAGTGCATAAATAGTAACATGTCCCTTGATTATGCATCTAGACCTCAGGATATCAGACTGAGTGCATGCTCAATACTTGCAGAGCACATTGTGTGCTTCCAGAAGGAGGAGGGGTGGGTGGATGATGTTGAGGACAGGCTCTCATTGCTTTATGCTGCATGTCTTTCGAAGTCTGCTGTTTGCATGGGGGACATCTCCTTATTTTAAAACTAAGTACAGGATGACTAACAGCTGGGATGAGTGAATTTTCCCCACCAGCGAATGGTTGAGAGAAGGTCAACAGAGAGGGTAGAACCCAGGCATGAAATTAATGAATTTTTGCTCTGTGTTGCTCACCCAAGTGCAAAGAGAGGATGAGGCCAGTGAAAAAGGCACTGAAGCAACTGGACAAGCCAGATAAGGGACTGACAGTGCAAGAACAGCTGGAGCATACTCGCAACTGCCTCCTGAAAATTGGAGATCGCATCTCAGAGTGCCTTAAAGCCTACTCTGACCAGGAGCACATCAAGCTGTGGAGAAGGTAACAGACCATTTCGTTTTTCTTCGGCTAGTTTGTGAATATTTAAGTGAATTTAGTGCTTATGGAAGGTGCTGGATTTTACAGCCCAGAAGTCAGATTCCAATGTTCCCCTCCCAGTGTTTCCCCCCAGCCTGTTTCAAAGACCCTCTTGAAAGCTGACCAGGGGACAGTAGGTGCGTCAGGAACCATGGCCCATTCTGTCCTGGACCACTTGGAGACTAGGGCTTCGTCTACATTAAAAAGTGTCACCAGCTTAAAATAAAGCAATTTAAAAACAGGTTTGGCCAAGCTGGTGCAAACTCTGTGCAGACACCTGTGCGTTTCAGTTGGAGAGGTGCTGATATCAATGTATCTTAAGTTACTTTCTTTACCCTTCCACAAAACTGAAACAAGTTCCTTTGAAACTGAAATGTGAATGTCCGCACACAGACTGATGCAAGTGGATGCCTAGGATGCCCCTTTATTAGAAACTGGAGGGAGGCTGCCAACTCCTGTTATCTAGGCCACTGATTAGCCTTTGGACGGGATCCGAAGTACAGTAGCGTTGTGCTGATGCAGGAGAGCCAAAAAGGAGATGGTGAAGCTGAGTGAAGCCTGCTTTTCCTGTCCCAGATGAGTGAAATAGACAAAGTAAAGAAACAGCATTCGTGATTAAATGGATATTGGATTTTAGGTCTTTGCCTGGTAACTGTCAGAGATTGAGTTAGAGTCCAGCAGCAGGGCGCTTTCTCTTTGAAAATATTTTTGTTTTTATCATCTTAACAGTTTCCCTTGCAAGATGGAAGGGATTCTTTCTCCACTCTCCATGAGAGTGTTTTTATAACTCCCATTGCTTGTTATACAAACTCGTGCTCTGAGCGGAGGATAGGCCCAAGATTATTGCTATAAAGGCTGGAGGAGTGTTTTACAAGGAGAGATGGTTTTGTAGCTAAGGCACTGGACTGGGACTCTGGCGTCTTGGGTTCATTTCTCAGCTTTGCTGCAGACTCCCTGTGTAATCCTGGGCAAATCATTTCGTCTCTCTGTACTCCCATGCCATCTGCCAGATGAAGGGAATAATTGCTAATCCTTAGTTCAGTGTTTTTTGCAGATTGTACAAATGAGGAAGACAAGTTAAACTGCTGTTTAGTAATTAATAGAAAAACTTAATGTCCCTTTAGGAACCTGTGGATATTTGTGTCCAAGTTCACAGAATTTGATGCTAGAAAATTGCACAAACTCTACAAAATGGCTCACAAAAAAAGATCGCAGGAAGAGGAGGTAAGATCTGAAATGTGCTCCCTTGGTGAGGAAGAGGCTGTATAGAACAGGGAGTTCTCGCATCTCTTCCCCGGCCTTAGCTACTATTTGTGATGCTGTCGCAGTTGCAGCAACATAACCACACAGTCCTGCTGGTACCATGGCTTATGGTGACTGATGCACTATAAATCTTTGGGTCAAAATTCAAGGGCTCTTGTCTCCTGAGAATTGTGTTTGTGAAGCTGCACCATGGGCTTAGCAGCGCATGCATTTATATTCTTTCAGATTGGTTGCTTTTTTTAAATGTCAATGCTTTCTAGCTCTTGTAGGATGGTGCAGGGTTATTAGGCCCCTGATTGGCTTTGTCTGCAACTCTTTGCTTTGTTTACCTCCACCTTCACTCCTTATTTGTCTGTTTTATAAACTACACAGTGCTAGTCATTTGATACCCTTTTAACACGTGGAAGTTCCTCTCTTCTTTCGTCCGGTCATTATTGTTGCCTCCCGCTGGACTATTCTTGTTGGTGTGCCACATTGTCTCCAACTCAAGAGTAGAAATCGGGGATGATGCTGTCCGTCAGGATTAAAATGTGTTGGCAGCGGTGGGTATGGTGGAAATTTGCACATCTCCTGCCTTACACAGGTCTGGCTCAAGTGCTATTGATTCCTTACTTTCTTGAGCACAAAAGTAATTCACAGCACAATCCACAGTGAAGATGCAGGTCTCTAGTCGGCAGGGAATCCCCCTGCTCTAAATGAATCCAGAGTGCAACAGACAGGGTTTCACAACCTGCCCGAGGCACTCCGGGGAATTGAAGGGGGAAGCATCGTATCTTTTTCATTCCATTGTACTGGAAGTGTCTCCCTTGTTCTCAGCAGGAGCAGAAGAAGAAGGAGGACATGGCTGGCAGCAAAAGGCTATTCCGCCCAGAGCCTTCTGGCTCCAGCCGGGATTCCCTCATGTCTCAGTCTCACCTGCCTCCCAACCCTCATTCTCAGAAACTCCACCTGCCTCCCTCGCACCCTCAGCAGATGCATGGGCACCAGCGGGACAACTACAGCCACCCTAGCAAGAGACACTTCAGTAACGCAGGTGGGTCCTTCATGAGAGAGTCAGAGGATGAGGTTAGCAGGTCCCCTGTCCATCCCAAGCCAAGGCCTGATTGTTCCCTGCAGTACATCCTCCAGGGCTTTTGTCCAGTCACGTTTTAAGTTCTGGGGTTCCCGAGGGAGAGGATGAGAGAGAGAGAACAGACCACACGCAACAGATGGGAGTCATTACTTAAAGCAGTAGTTCCCAAACTTGTTCCGCCGCTTATGCAGGGAAAGCCCCTGTCGGGTCGGGCCGGTTTGTTTACCTGCCGCGTTCGCAGGTTCGGCCGATCGCGGCTCCTACTGGCCGTGGTTTGCTGCTTCAGACCAATGGAAACTGCTGGAAGCGGCGCAGGCCGAGGGACGTACTGGCCGCCGCTTCCAGCAGCTCCCATTGGCCTGGAGCAGCGAACCGCGGCCAGTGGGAGCCGCGGTCGGCCGAACCTGCGGACCCGGCAGGTAAACAAACCGGCCTGGCCCGCCAGGGGCTTTCCCTGCACAAGCAGCAGAACAAGTTTGGGAACCACTGACTTAAAGCATGACTGAAAGGTGCTCAGAGGCTATAGTGATGAGGACAGGATGTAGAATAGAATTAGGGTATTTCCCCCTGATATTCAAGGTACATTTTGCTTTTGTTAATTTCTTCCTTTTACCACAAACCCTTTAAAAGATTCCTCTTTAAATCGATATTTACTGCCATCAGTGACTTGTTGTATTATAAACATCCTGTGTCTAAACCTCAGAAGGGACTTCATAGAACCCACAAAGCTGCTGTCTGGAAGCTTGAATAAGACAGACAAAAAACATTGCCCAGAATTACCACCTACTATCGCATGCAAGCATGCCACCTGTGTGATGGTCCGTTCAGGGTAGGGTAGGTGATGGTAAGACCGACCCTCAGGCCTGTGTTTTCCTCCCTACAGATCGAGGAGACTGGCAGAGAGATCGGAAATTTAACTATGGTGGCAACAGCAACCAGGTCTGGGGTGGAGAACGGCATCACCAGTACGAGCAGCACTGGTACAAGGATCACCACTACGGGGATCGTCGGTCTCGCGGCGACCCCCACCGAAGCTCCGGGAACTACCGACCAAATAACCTCTCCCGCAAGAGGCCGTATGAGCAGTACAACAGTGACCGAGACCACAGGGGACACCGAGATTATTACGACAGGTAACTGTTAATGCCGACAATCACAAACTGGAGTTGGCAACCATTCACCCAGCCACTGTACAGACATTTCCTGCTTGCCACAAGGGGGAGCCAGGGAGCTCAGTGGAATGGAGGTGGGGGGTGCTATTGGCATTCGCATTCTGGATTCAAATCAAACACAGACTTAGTCACCTAATTGGGTTCTTGTTTTCTTTTCTGCCTCTCTGAAGTGGGCATCATTGCGGGGTTCTCATTTCTGCCTTGCCCTCCGATTACCTTAGACATGAGCCCTAGCCTGCTTTTTTCCACCAGTAAGCTTTAGACTCCAAGCGTGACAGTCCAGTCTTGGGTCTCAGCTTGTATGTTTCCGATCAGGAGTTGCCAGCCCATGTGTGTTACAAGCTCACTGGGAAGGTATTTAGGTGACTTTGCTTTTCTTCCCTCCCTCCCCTTGTCTTCGATCACTCCTGTTCCATCCAATTCTCTTCTGGCTTTACCCTGTAAATCCCTTTTCCCCGACCCTGCCGCTAGTTCTCTTGTCCCCTACGTGCAGACACACACAGTTCACATTCTCCCAAGAATGCTCTTAAAGGCTTCAAGTCTCTCTACTACTTAGATTCCTGGCTTTCCCAGGCAAAGGACACCTAGTCTTGTTTGTTTGCAGAGTGGTATCCACAACTACAGGGCTGCGTAAATAATCACCAGCAGCATTATTCGGGGTGGAGTTTGGACCTTTCCTTGGATATTTCAGGATGGGGAGTGGGGGGGCTGCATAAGTGTCTACTCTTGAGCTGATATTATTTTGTGTGTTCGTTTTTTACATCTAGACACCATCACGATTCCAAGCGGCGAAGATCTGATGAGTTCAGACCCCAGAACTACCACCAGCAGGAATTCAGAAGAATGTCTGATCACAGGCCACCCATGGGATACCACGGCCAGGGACCTTCAGACCATTACCGGTCCTTCCATACAGACAAATCGGGGGATTACAAACAGCCGCTTCCCCCTCCTCACTCCCAGCTCTCGGACCCTCGCTCACCCCCGTCTCAAAAATCCCCTCATGAGTCCAAGTCACCCCTGGATCACAGGTCGCCCCTGGACAGGTCGTTAGAACAGAAAAACAATCCAGATTATAACTGGAATGTTCGAAAAACATAAAGCGACTGGGATCGGAGGGAGAGAGCTCATCTGAAATACTTGGTCTGTTGCAACAGTGGCTGCTTTTCCAACCCGGTAACCGGAGACTGAACATGCTGCTATCGTCTTGCTGGGTGAAGGAGGATTTTGGGGAGTGGGCAGGGGCTCTCCCCAGCTGTTAGTTCTGGTCTGGATTCCTTTTTCATATTCCCTTCTCCAGTCTGGCATTGGAACTGGATCCATTGCCCACAGGGGGGGGAACAGGTGTCATTCTTTGCTTTAGTTTTGTTTTTCAATGAAGGCTGCATCCGACAGACTCTTGTGAATATTTCACAGCTGCGGAGCTTTCCCCAGAACCAAGAACGTGGATCGATGCTGCTTAAGACTTTGTAGACAGCTTTGTATGCCCAGTCTGAAGTGACGTTACGTGACACATGCTGCTGTGGGGGGGCATAACCCAGTCAGGCTGGGCTGTGTGTAACCAGTGTGGGGGTGGGATGCATTTGGAATGGACAGGAGGGCTCTCTTAGAGAAAATAACTGACCCTGCTCTTATCATGGTCCTCCGAGAGGAAGGGGGAACTCGGGGCCTCTCCAGAGTGGCTCAGAAAGGTAGGAGTGGGAATCCATCACTTCTCCTGTCTTTATCCATTTCAAGAGACTGGCTCTGCTTTGTGCACTTCATGCGCTCTCTGCAGCACAGGCAAGGACATGGGAAACATTCACCTTGGTAATCTTAAAACAGGTGGAGGTCCTCAATATATGGGGAAGGGACAGAGTCCCTGAGCAGAGCCTTAATTCCCCCTTCAAACCAGTGAGACAGGAAATGGAAAGTTACAGGATTTCCCAGTGGAAGGGGCTCAGGAATCCGTAACACAAACCCTCTTGCCCCATTTCTCGCCTGCCGCAGCTAGTAAGGATGTTCCTTATGTAGAACATACTGGCTGGAAGCTGAATGGTTTGTAGTGGAGGAAATGGCTCTGGGGGTCAGGGATCCTGGCTTCTATACCCCTCTGCTGCTGACCTACTCTGACCCTGGGGCAAATCACTTCTCTGCACTTCAGTTGCCCAACTGGAGAATGGTGATCCCAGTCTTTACTCCTCCTTGTAGCACATGTTGAAATCTAAGGGTCAGAAGCTGTATGCTGGGCTTGGCGAGGGCACCATGCAGAGTTAAATGTGAATGCAATTGGCTGGAGTTTTCCATGCAGAGCTCTATCTTTGCACAAAGCAGTGAGCTGGCCACCTACCTGCCATAGTTCCAGTGATCTGCGCTAACTCTATGAGGAGCGGAAAATAGCTGTATTGAATGAACTTCTGTATCTTTAAATTGGGAACTTGCATAAGTGTTCTGAACTTAGATTTCTGGTGAGCAATAGACCAAGGAGAATCCTAAATTCTCAGTGTTTAAAATCCTCATAGCAGGCCCCCCCAGTCAGTAGGTGTATAACAAGCCCAGGAAGGGTAAGGGGAGTAGAGTGGTTTGCAGCCAAATGAATAGGCTTTACTGCAAACATTCATCAAAGTGTTAGGATCACGGTGCGGCGTGAAGGGGTAATGTCCAGCAGGGAGGGATTTGCCAGAACACTTCTAGCAAGTCAGGAGTAGCCAAAGCACAGTGGCTGGCCACATAACTTCAGCTCCATCATCTTTAAGATGGAGTCAAGGCCCCACGAGACAGGCTACAGGTCCCTAATGCCAGGCTCTGCCTTGAGGCGAGCAGCCAGGCCATTCAGATTAAATTGGCACATTTCGGGCTGGGACCTGTAGTCTATGGGAACTGCAGCTGTGTTCTGAAGACAAGGCCAGTGGCAAACTGCTCAATTTAATGCAAAGGGTGCAGACCTTGGGTTCCTGAAAAGGTGGCAAGGTTACCCTCCTTTGGGCAAAATCAGAACATTCTTCCCTTTAAAGGCCCGAGGTGAGGTGGATTTTTAATTCCCTGCCTGTCTTTTACTGGTAAGTTATCTTGAATCTGCAGGTATCCAGAGTAAGGACCAGAATGGCCTGAGGGAAGAATTTCCCCGCGGCGCTTGTAGAGGTGAACAGCCGTAGACATCCAAACCAGCCGAGGCGCCTTCCCAAAGTGAGGGAGCTGACTTCCTTCCTGCTGCGTCTCCCTTGATTTCCTGGATGAATGTAGGTCACATTTATTGTTGGAGACCCTGGGGCGGGTGCTTACGACAAAGGCCCTGCCTGCTTGGAGGTGAGGTTGTAAAGGCAGGTCTCGGTTGAGGCAAAGGTGTTAACTCTTCCGTTGGCAGTTTGGAAGGTACACGCAAATCAACACTAATAACGCCCAAGCGTCCTGTCTGCTTGGTGCTGATGGAATGATCACTGTGTGCCTGATCCATTCTGAGCCCATTGGTTTAATGAGGGTATCTCTGTCCCATGAGATCATTCAAAAGCAACCATGGTTTGCTGCAAATGGGAACGACCGTGTGATTCTGGGTCACAGTGACATATGCACAACCCGTGTACAAAAGCTTGTATACTCGGCGGGCTGGCTGTATCCAGCTCTTCCACACCATTAATTTAACCCCTTCAGTGCCAAGGAACATGCAGAGCATGACCTTTATAAGAGGTCTGGCCGTGTAGCCCAGGAGGGTTGTATGTCCTGTCAATGGCACCCAGAGGCATCTCAGAACTAAGCCTAAGGAGGATTTAGGAGGCTACCGAAATGTGGCTGTTTGGTGGCAGGGGAAATGCTGTGCTTCCCATTCTTTGAGCTTTCCACAAAACTAAACAGAAGCAAAATGGCTTTGCTTGCTACAAGGGAACCAGTACTGGCAGCCTCACGCCACCAAGAATTTCCCTGCAATAGAAGGAAGGGAGGGAGACTAGCTGTCATGTCTTTTCCCCCTTTGTAGCGGAGGGCAGAGATAGTGTCTCTCCCGGCATGTTTTCACTAAGCTGCGATGGCAGGTGGCCGCTATCATGTTCACAGTGGGTCCTTTCTTTTCAAAGAGGGGTCTTGGCTTACAATGTGAATACTAAATTCACCTCTTCGCCAGGAGGAGCAAAGAGAGATTTACGTTGTTTTTCGTTCACATTCATGAAATCCTAACAAAATGTTACGTGCCATAAAGTTGTAGCAAAAGGCAGTACTGGCCAGACCAGTGTTAAGGTTGGTGCAAAACAACCAGAAGCCCAACGAGAGGGGTTTGCTGCCTCCGCATCGAGGGGCTTGGCGCTCAGGGGTTCCAATCAGTATGAAAAGTATTTTGGTTTTTCTTCTTAAAACAGAAGGAAACAAAAAATGCACACGTGAAAGCTTTGTCCACATCCTTTTGAGAGTTGCACTTGGAAGTCATGTAGGCCTGATGCTAAAAGAAGGATTATTTTGAGTTCTGTCATGGTGGGTGGATCTTAACTGGCTTTGGTTTTACAGAAGCTGGAAAAATCTAATCTGAGGGAAATAATCCCTTTCCACAGGCGCGCACCCTCTGTCCCAAAATAAGGGACCACAAAATCAACCATTGGAAATAGGCAGTTGAAGGACAATGGGAGTGGGAGAGGACAGCCCCACAGCCATAAATTTCAGTATGGTGTTCATGTCAACATGTGGTGCAGCTGCTCCTAATAAGCCAGCCAGTGAATTGCTCTAGTCTCACTGAAGGGAAAAGTTGCAACTTCTTGGTTTGGTTTTGGTTTATTTAAGCTGTTCTCAGAGTGACATCACAAACCCCATTGGAAACCATGTAAAAATTGAGTCACTTATGAATTTGCACCAGAAAACAAGTCCACAGACCAAAACCTGCTGTCCACAGGTGGTGGTGGTGCAGTGCCCAGCTGAAGTGGGTACTTTAGAGCTCTTTGAGATCTTTACATGAACTATTTAAGTGATCCACAAAAAAAAAGTACTAGTCTACTTTCATCCATTCCCCCCCCCACCTTCCCCTGAGCAAAGGGGGAGAAGGACTCTTACTGTAAAATTGTGGACTTTTAAACCTGTTGACTAAAACAGTAATTAATATTAATTTATATTTGTGAAAAAAATGCCACTGTCCTAGTGATTTCTGATGTAAATATGTTGTTTATATAGTATGTATTAAATTTTCCTACACTGTAAAACTGCTGTACTTTTGATTCTTGTATATTAAAAAGTGTTACTGAGATTTTCAGAACCTCGCCGGCTTGTTGTATCTGGTGTGTGCAGTACAGTCGCTTACTGGAATATGGCATGTCTCTAAACTCCTGTGTTAGCTCCATCCCTGGTGTGCCTGTCTCCATCTCCCGGGGAAATTTACACCCATGCAGGTGACCAGTGCTTAGGGCTGGGATTGTCAAGTGAGCTTCATGGGTGTTATATGCTCAAATCCCAGTTAAATTCAGTGGGGTTTGAGCACCTTCCTCCTTTAGGCTATGTCCAGGCTAAGAAAAATGTGCATTTTTTAACATTTTAAAAACCTATTGTAACCTCTCTGGGCTCTTACAGTGCCCTTATCACCACGGTATCTGAGGCCCAGATCCTCAAAGGTATTTAGGAGCCTAAATGCCTTTGGGGCTCTGGGGCTGAGTAGTGCATGCCGGCTTGGACAGAGTGAATTTCACCCTGCCTGTACAAACTAGAGACTGAAAATAATTTCCAGCCTTGCCTGGGGGGCTCAGAGTTTCCTCACTAAAACTCGGTGGAGTTGGCAAGCATGGCACGGCCTTTTATTTACTTTGAGCGTATTCTGTGACCGGGATTTTTCCTTTTAGAATTAGCAGATAAGGTAGCAAAAGCTCCATTTGCTTAGTAACGTGTTGGGCTCCTGGTTGCTGCAGTGTGACCCATTAGCTCCCACCAAAACAGTTGCTGTCTCTCCTCTCCCCCCCTCCATCAAGATGACATTAACAATTGATAGGAAATGGCTCGAGAGCTCCCCCTGCTGTGCCTGCAGCTGTATATCCACGCTGTTTATGATCTCGTGATCCTGGCTGGTGCTGTGATACATAAGCATCAAACCAAAGCTGTGTTTAAACAAAAAGTAACTATAGAGTTCCAGTGGGAGGAGGGGGGACAGAAAATGGGCAGGTGTGTGTGTGTGTATCAGACAGACTTCTTGCAGTGGGAGAGGTAGTAATTTTAAAAGAAAATTTAATGTCACGGTAAGATTCTCCGTGGTATGTTAACTATTGCACGTCTATTTTAAATGAGGGCGTAAAGAAGGGTGATTTAAAATGATCTGCCCGAGGTTTCAACATTCCATCTTGGGTTAAGTGAGCAGATTGTCACAGGCTTACAGCAAGAGTAATTATTATTTATTAATTGCATTGTGGTAGATCCTGGGAGACCTAATCATGGCCCAGGACCCCCTTATGCTAAGCACTGTAAGAACACAGAACAAAGAAGTGGGCCCTGCCCCAAGAACTTTAAGCAAGGATGTTGCGTAAGCCCAAAGCAACATCTAAGGTGACCTAAAAATATATTGCAGTGTTGCTATCTTATTGTGTGTTTCACTGTATTTGGTTGGGGGTTTTTTGTTCAAGCCCCAGCTCCTGGATTCATGTGATTGTGAGAATCTTGACTTAGATTAAAAAAATTTCTTGCCCTCATGGTTGTGGAGAAGAACTTAAAATTTGACCCAAACTCAACTTGATGGCTCAAAAACCAAAAGACAGACATACCCACAATGTATCATTTTTTTTAAATCAAAACTTTCAAGCCAACCTCTGATTTGAGGCCCATTTTATGATTGATTTTCTTATTACTTTTCGTAAAGAAACAATAAAAAGAGAAATGACTTAGCTTGTATATGTCACCAAATACTACACAATTCACAGGCTAGCCAAGTTGTGCAATTACACAACTTTACCACTTGTCAAAGCTGTAAGACCAGACAATACAAAATCAGACACTATTACACAGACAGAACATGTTAGGGTGGGGGTAATAATAAAAAACACACACAAGTAGGCAAAAAAGGGAAGGAGGGGACTGGAGGGGGGATGGAAAAAGAATGGTCGAGAGCAGTGTTTCCCAAACTTGGGACGCCGCTTGTGTAGGGAAAGTCCCTGGCGGGCTGGGCCGGTTTGTTTACCTGCCACATCCGAAGGTTCGACCAATCATGGCTCCCACTGGCCGCGGTTTGCCACTCCAGGCCTATGGGAGCTGCTGGAAGTGGCGGCCAGTACGTCCCTCGGCCCGCGCCACTTCCAGCAGCCCCCATTGGCCAAAATCATGCACTGTGTGACCCTCAAGAAGCAAAGTCGGTGGCGGAGTTAAACCCAGCCTAGTAGGTACATAACTTAGGATATAATTTTCAGATGAGGCTTGATTATTGAAGCCAAGCCCTATTTTCACTCTTGTTTCCACCTCTTTCCCCATCTGCCTAATAGATGGACAGTCCCATAACATATGGATCAGGGATCCTTTTTTCTTTATTACAATCCCAACAAATACCAGCGCACAAAGCCCCCATCTTGCACAATCTCAGTGGCATCCAATACATTTTGAATAGAACCTTCTGCTGTGTCAGGGGTAGCGTGAGAGCCACAGAAGCATCTTTAACATTCCATAACACGCTCGGTCTTTGGGGCTCTTGTAAGGGCTGTGATAACTCCCCTCTCTGTGCTTTCACAAAGAACTCCAGACCAGTGGAGTTCCTCTTCATTAGTAAAGCATACAGAGCGGACATGGGCCTGGGGAGTTTATGAAGCATTTTCAAGGTTCCCAGTAGCTCTGGGGCCTCTGGCAGTCCTAGGGCATCTGGACCAAATTGATACATTAGCAAATGTTCTAGTTGTAAGTAGTGCCACTCCGCTGAGGGGGGCAGGTCCTATCGTTGCTTTAAGTATCAGGGGTAGCCATGTTAGTCTGTATCCACAAAAACAACAAGGAGTCTGGTGGCACCTTAAAGACTAACAGATTTATTTGGGAATAAGGTTTCGTGGGTAAAAAAACCACTTCTTCAGGTGAAACATCGTTGCTTTAGTGTTCGAAAAGAGACAAAGCCCTCATCTTAAACTAAGTGGAAAATCCATATGATACCCTTGCTTGGCCAGTTCTTGCAAATTACAGTTGTGTGCCCTCCCCCTCAATTTGCAAGTCTGGGTTACCCCAGCTAGGTGCTTTTGCATGACAGCAAGGATGAAATTGGTACCTCTTAGCTAGGATAACCCAGACACCACTAACCACCTTATTTTTCTCCACCGGACAAAAACGGGAACTGAGCAGACCCATGGGGGAATCGGATGCATTAACATCCGTTCCGTTTCCACCGTTGTGGGTATGAGGGTGTTAGCATGCTGGAACCATTTGGACATTGGTGATACGCTGTAGCTCTGGGAGCCCAAACACCCTCTTGGCTATAGGGAACTGGAGTGTTTTAAGTGACAGTCGTGGCATTGACCAGGACCCCACAGAAAGGGAAGATGCAGGCTCTAATAATTTTAGTAAATTTTCTAAAATAAGATGATGGGATCTATATACAGGTATGCTGCTCAGAATATAGAGGAGGGTAGGCATAATATTAATTTTTATTGTATTACAACTTCCCCACGGGTTCAGGGACAGAGGCCGCCACCTCTTTGTATCACTAGTTATTTGAGAGCAGACAGGGTCTAAACTTTATCCTCACTAGTTTGTTAATGTTTCCGTGTACTTTTATACGTAGGAATTTACCATGTTTATCAGAGATGAGGCCTGACTCACCATTTTTGAACGTTCAGGGTTGGCCATACTGCTAATACATGGCTTTCTGGGCTTTCTTTGCCCAGAATATAGCTTGGGTGGGGACAGGGGGTGAAGAAACCTGGGATGTGGGCCTATTGAAGACCCTAGATGGGGGTTTACCAAACGTTCACAGTGTGGGTCACATCCTGGATGGTCTTGGCCCGCGCCTCTTCCAGCAGCTCCCATTGGCCTGGAGCAGCGAACCGCAGCCAGTGGGAACCGCAATCAGACGGCTAAACAAACCGGCCCGGCCTGCCAGGGGCTTTCCCTACACAAGCGGCATCCTAAGTTTGGGAAACACTGCCCTAAAAGGGTAGTCCTTCAAGGTTGCTCTTCATTTCAGTGTCTTGTTCCTCTCTCTTCCTCCCCTTGCTCTTGTCTCGACCATCTGGTTCCCCCTTGCAATGCTCCTTTGTTAGCTGGTCCCCACTCCCTACACATGCTTTCCTCCAACCTGTTGCTGCTGCGCTTCCCGGGACAAGCGGACCAAACACTTTGTGATCTTCCCCGCACATTCCACTCAGCTGCCTCATTTCTCTTCTGCTAGTGGCTGGCTACTGTGTTCCTGCTGATGGCGCTTCTCCCAGACAGCTATTCCTGTTTCCTCTCTACCATATATAGTAGAAGCTCCTTGCTTTTCCAGACATCCATGCTGTCTGCAGGGAACAGCCTGGGCACCTAGCCACCACGGCCAGCATCAAGCAAGACCAGAGAGAGATCTGAGGAACAGCTTGAGAACCAATGCCCTAGCGAACGGGGTTACATCTGTTTGTACAAGCTTAACTCTGAAGGGCTAAGTACAATTCAGTCATTTGTGCAGAAGCAAAAGTGGAGACAGGCTGGGGAAAGATCAAAGAAGGGCTGCACCTGATCACCAGGGGGCAGCTGGCCAGCAGCAGAAGCTGAACAATACTAAGCTGTGCAGCTGTTTCTAGGGTCATGTGACAACCTGGTGGTCATTATGCAGCAGATGGGAGAAAAAGCAGACCATGATCTTGTTGTCTGGGAGTGGCAATAAGGGTCCCATTGAGCTGGAGAGAACTTGCAGTGTTCTCAGCACCTGCAGTGAGTTCTTCACACTATCTCTAAGCTCATGGTCTCCTTTCTTCAGTGGGACTTGGGCCCCTCCCTCCCCCATCCAATTAAAAGGGGCTCAAGATAATTAACATGCACCTTGAGAACCCATCATCCCCACTGTAATGCACCCCCCACACACACAGCTGTGTCCAATCCCACAGGAATTTGCACCCTTGCCGCAAGAGACCAGGAACAGGAAGTGATCGTGTGCTACAGGCCCAGTAGAGCAGCCCATGAGCTGCTCCAACTTGGTTTGTTTTCAGTAGTTTTCCCCTCCTCCTTTGTAATTTGAGGCACTTGAAGTCCATGCCATAACTCTGGGCCCAGCCAAAATCTAGTGCAGGGGACGAAGCTATTTCTGAGTGGTAAGAGCTCATTATAAAAAGGGCT